GGCTTGTCAGAATTGATTGTTCAACTACTACTCCTTTCATAGTCTATCTTAAAAACGTTGTCAAATTATAAATATTCAATTATTTGCGTTATTTTGCACTTCAATCAATTCTCAATTGTTTATATTTTCATGAAAATCACTAATTTGAACTAATAATTACATATTTATACATTAAAAGTAGGGTCAAATACGTTTTACATCAAAACCTGTTCAACTACTGGGTACTTTACCTTATTTAGGATTTTTTTTATGATAAAAAAGGAAGTAAAAACCCGATAATTTTTTGGCTTTGTCGACATATTTTAAACAAGTATGTGTTATCTTGATCCAACATTACCGCCTATTTTAATTCAAGGAAATAAATAATAACAGCAATTATGTTCGAGGGTAAAATTCACAAATAAATAATTTTCTGTTCGTCATCCAAGAATAATAATTTGTTGATTCAAGAATTATGCAAGCTAAAAATGAAAAAAAAGTGAAATTTTGTAGGAAAAATTGAGAAGAAAAATTAAGTGGTAGCAAAAAATAATTAATATTCAAATTTTCATGATTAAAGTTCGATAAATTTATATAAAAAATGAATTTACTTTCTGAGAGATCCATTGGAAAAATTTTCGAAGGAAAATTTAATAATATTAATCCAAATCCTGACGATATTTTTTTACAGCGTTAATAATTGGTGTCTTCACTTTGAATCTAACTTATACAAATAAAATTGACGAGCAAAAAGAGGGCAAATAAGATAAATATCTGGAAAAAAAAAAAAAGATAAAGTGCATGATATGAGAAAGTATTTTGTGTCAAGTGGGAGGATAGAGGAGACTATGAGTCTTGAATGGGCTCTCTGGCATTGGGAATTCGTGAAATAGAAGCGGGTCGGTGTGACAGACCCCAAGCGTCGCGACGGTGTCGTCGCGTGGGCGGAACGCAATCGTCCGAGGATCAGAGTGGAGGGTATAGGGCATAAAGTATATGTATAACGATCGTAATACATATAAGGGAGTTTTAGCAATGTAAGTTAAGTAGTATAGCTGTAGTTTTGTGTGTCGTCGGGGCAATGTGAATATAGCTGCAGAGATAGTATAGAGGAAAAGATTGTCGATCGGCTCCCGACCTCGACAACTTTCGCATGTGCCTTGCCATTCACCCGTGTCAGTTCCATTCTACCCAATGTCCCGAGGCACATGGCTAACGGGAAATATCTTTGTTTATTTTTAGAATTATTAAAATGTTATTCTTCTTTTTGGATATACATACTATTTAAAAAAAAAATGTACTTATAATCATCTATTTATGTTTAATAAAAGAATTTTTTTACCATTTAGTTTTAAATTTTAGAATAATTACTGAAACTTGACCGAGCTATGATGTAATGATAATTAGAGGCTGATAAATGGAAGGCTAACGATATATAATATATGTTAAAAGACGGTCAGCATAATAAATATTGGCATGGTAAATAAAAGATACAGAGTTAAGTAGAAGTATGTAGGAGAGCTTACCGAACATCGGTATTTATATTTGATCGTATAGCTTGTGGACATGTCAAACAAGTTTTCCTTGAACCTCAAAGTCCAATCGTGGCGTCGTTGTATATACATACAATATTAAACAACTAAATAACGTGCGAGAGAGTACAGAGCGTGAGGACGCATTAATAGTTAATAATTATTCGTATACACATAAACTGTAAACGGAAGTGCAAAAAATATATCTGATTATTGTTGTATTCTTTTTAATTTATTGACTTTTAAAAATTATCTTTTTATTTACAATATTTCATTTTATTTTTTGTATTTTTCTTACTGTACTTTGAAATTAATGAAGGTTTTCATTTTGATAGCATATATTAATCAAGTTTACGTATGATCTGTTATTTAGAAATGTATTTTTTTTTTTTTTTAGTTACGGAGATTGAAATATTAATTATACTCAGTATTGAATCATATGTTACTGTATAATGTAATAATTATTAGAAATAAATTTATTGAGAGTGTTAAAGCGTATTATCCTTTGGACGGAAAGAATTTTATATGAGCGCCAACAATACATGTTTTGTGTATTCTACTATCTCAGATGGTAATTAAATTTGTAAAAGTCAAGACGATCCTACCCCAATAATTCGGCATCAATCATTGAACAACAACTTCTGCACTCTAACTTTAAGTATTGGGGTATTTTTATTTTTTTATAAAAAAGGATTAAAGAGCGTTCGTACAGTGTAGAATTTAAATTTCTAGTCATTTATTATAATTATACATTAGGTATAAGAATTAAAAATTCAATTATGAAAATTTAATATGCTTAAGTAATGTATTATTCTAAGACTCATCTGATATTGACAAAATCAAAAAACTATTTTTATACATACTCCAAAAGTTGTTCTAAGGCTGTTTATTACTTATGTAATGTGCTTGGAAAAAGATAAATATAAACTACCTTTTTAAAACAACACGGAAAAAAGTAAACTGTAATAAATAACAGTCGATTTATAATAAGTAATGATCAACTGCTAAAAATTACCATTTCAAACAGTAAAATCGTGATTTTACTATTCACTTTATAATATTTACCATTTAAACGTTACAATTTACTCTTTACATGGAAGAAAATAACTATTTCAAACAGTAATATTCGCTATGTCAATGTCTGAAATGTTAAAGTATAATAATTAATAATTCAGACTTTGATATTTATCATTTCGTACCTAAAAAATGATCTTATGATATGTAAAAAGTATAAAATAAAGTTAATAAATTTCTAATACAAGCAACGTCAATATTTACAAAGTAAAATGGTAAATTTTAAACACAACGCTAAAAATCAAACTGTAATTATTGACTTGCTTGGACTGGTAAAATGTATATTTTAGAAGTAGAATTTTTACTGTTTCAAATGTTATTAAATTCTTTCAAAGTGAGACCCCCTTCTCTTTCATCTGAGTTCCCCTTCTCCTCATAATATCGACTATATATTGAAATGGCAATTTTTACTGTTTAAAACTGTAATTTTTTAAGATAAAAGAGTCGTTATTTACTTTTTTCCGTGAAGAAAAAAAAATTGCAATTCAAAAATTTTATTCTGCCATTTGATTATACTGTTGAAATATTATTTAAAAAGGAAACAAAATACATAAAATATTAAAGAGTTCACTAAATTTTTCATCAATATTACTATATGATATTTATTCACACTAGACATATCATGCTCGCTTCGCTCGCCTTCATTTATTCAAAAATCCCGTCATTATTGTCGACCTATCAACAATCGAATAAAATAGTCACAGAAGTGGCGTAAAACGATACGACATCCGGCCATCAACTTTTTAGAAGAGAAAATTTGATGTTGATTTTAATTTCGTTGTACATTGTAGTAAATTTTCCATCATATAAATCCTCAATTAAATCATTTTATTAACAAGTAAAGTATTTTATAATCGCTTTAATGAAGTTCCTATTAAATTAGTCAAAGTGCTATAAAACTTTCTTCCCGATTAGTTTAATAAAGTTGTCTTCTTTCTCTTTCTGACTAATAAACCAGAAATCAATCCAATAGCCAATCTTAAAAATATCAAAAAAATCGTAACAATGTATTAATATAATGAACTTGAATCAATGTACAACAGCGGTCGATATTAACGATACCCTGAGGCTAAAATTATAGATCAAACAAAAGTCGACTTATCCGGTTAAGCCCTTTTATTTCAGCAGTATTCTCGTTAAATAATCATCATCAGCAGCTAAAATAATCGGTGACCCCTAATAAGATCAAGAGATATTTATAAAAAAGATTTAAGATTTCGATGTCGATGTAGGTACAGAAATAGATTAACAATAAAAGTAATTGTGAAGTAGGTGAAAAAAGACTAAGAATGGAAAAATAAAATAATAATAACAATAAAAAACTGACGAGCTAAAATCAGTAATTCAAGACTCGTGTACTTGAATATTATTTATCTTTTAATTAAAGTATTAACTCGAGAAAAGTATTTCTGACAAGTAAGATTGAATGCCAGCATCAAATTCCGCCATACCACACCCGAACCCCCGATTAAACTGCAGTATGCCGTAGCAGCCAATTTAATACGACTATGACTTCTATGGCACGTTAACTTACAATACGACCTTCAATAGATCTATAAGACAGTCACGAGACGATTGAATTCCACTGACATAATCAACTATTGCCTCTGAAGTGCTTCGAACTTCCCCTTTATTTTTCCTTTTTCAATTATACATATTATATTGCTATTGCTTGAAGAATAAATTTCGAAAGGTCAAAAATTAACATAAATTTAATTCATTTTACAGACTGCTTTAAATAACTTGGAGGAGATGCAACACAATCCGATGATGTACCGCGGGACCGAACGTGGAAGAAGCGTGGGAGTTGGCCCCATGAGGTCACGACCTATGGAAAAGAGGTATGACACGTCGCCGTACAGCGGTACATACTTATCACCACCACCTGACACCTGGCGAAGAACTAATTCAGATTCAGCTCTGCACCAGAGTGCCAATGAAGCTTGCCAATCGGCCTCCACGATTCCTCATCGACGAGGTAGCGATACATGTCGGTGTTTTATGTTTTATTTATATTTATTATATCAAATTTTTTTGATGTCTTGTTGCATTATTAATTTATCGTTTCACTTATTACTGCAGATCAACATGGTATGGGTAATACGACAAATGACAATAGAGATGGCCATCATAATTTTATTGAGAGACCGAGATCTTCCTGTGAGATGCCAAGAGTACCAGGCATCCAGTAAGTTCATAAACTCAATATAATAATTATTATTATTTTTATTATTATTCGGTAAATATTTTACATTTCACGTGAATCACTTTTTACTTTTTACAACGGTATACATTACCTACGAAAAAATATTTTTGATCTAAATTAATCTATACGTAGATGTTTGTAGATCAAAAATATTTTTTTCCAGAAAGCGGTCAATATAATTTTATTTTCTTCACTAACTGATAGAAAGATTTATTTTATTTAAGACAAAAAATATTGAAACTAAAATATTTTTTTAAAGTTAAAAAATTTTTTTGTATTGCATTAATCAATTCAGAAGTAAAAATTTACTTGAACTATAAAATTTTATACTTTATTAATTTTTATGCTTTATTTTTTACAATTACATTATTCAAATAAAGAAATTTATACGGTTTAATTACTTGTTATGTTCCTAATTTTTAAACTCTTTTCATTATCTATATTTTGGATATTTATTAAACAGAAAAATTTCTAAATTTACTATGAATCTCTAAATATATTCATTTAAAAGTAAAATATCACTTTCTTCTATTTTGCTGATAAAATTTTGCATATTTTTCTAAAATTCAACTCTACTAAGCACCCACAGTAAAATAAAATGTAAACCCGAGAAAAAATATTTATATATAATTATATATATTTATATATAAATTGGTTATATATGAAAAATGGCCAAATATAATCATATCTAATTATATATAATTATATATAACTATATATAATTATATATAACAATATTTAATTATAGATTTATTACAGATCTAATTAATTATTGGGTTAATTTTATGGATAGAGTATTTAATATGGTCCTACGCAATTCTGTGTAACCGATCAAAATGCAAAAAAAATATCTAGATCTAATTTTATGGCTATAACACCAGCAGTCACCCATCCAACTATTAACCCTACTCAATGCTGCTTAACTGTGGTGATCTCCGTGCGTCTTGAAGTTTCTGCCTGCTGTGCTTCTGTCTCAGACAATAATGATTCTATGATCTACTTAATGCATCATATGAGTTTATCTTAAATATAATATAAAAATTGATTTTATAATATATTTGAATAGTCATAGTTCATAATTAATTTATTTTAATAAACTATTCATAAAATAAATAATGATTTTACTATTACGTAGGGGCAGAGCAGACAAAACATCTCATAGAAAATATGACAAATTTTGTATTTCAGAATTATGTAAACGTAATTATAAACATCATTTTACACTTTTCGTAATTACCAAAAAAAAATTTTTTTTCAAAGAAAAAATTTTTAGGTATGTTAATTATATATAAGCATATATAATTATATATAATTATATACGGGACTATGTACAATCTTGCATAGCTGTATATTGCTCCATATATAGTCATATATAATTATATATGATTATAAATAACCTCATATACAATTCCATATATAACCATGTATGATTATATATAACTATATATAATTATATATAACAATATTTAATTATAAATTTATTACATCTAATTAATTATTGGGTTAATTTTACGGATAGAGTATTTAATATGGTCCTACGAAATTCTCTAAAAATAATTAAAATGCAAAAAAAAAATGTCAGTATATAATTTTACTGCTATAACACCAGCGGTCACCCATCCAACTACTAACCCTACTCAATGCGGCTTAACTTTGGTGATCTCCGTGCGTCTTAAAGTTTCTATCTGCTATGCTGCTATTTTAGACAATAATGATTCTATGATCTACTTAATGCATCATATGAGTTTATCTTAAATATAATATAAAAATTGATTTTATAATATATTTAGATAGTCATAGTTCATAATTAATTTATTTTAATAAACTATTCATAAAATAAATAATCATTTTACTATTAGGTAGTAGTAGAGCAGACCAAAACTTTTCATAGGAAATGTAAAAAATTTGTAATTCAGAATTATTATATATATATATATATATATATATATATATATATATATATATATATATATACACAATTAAAGAGTACCATCGGGCTTTCGTCCAACAATAAAGTCTCGCGTGTATAATCAAATAGTCACAAACGTTACAACAATTGTATGTATACGGATTATGCATGTAGACAATTGTTATTTCCGTGGCGAGTCCGATAACCGTATTCGGTCAACGATTTCCGAATAATACACTCCTAAAACGTAAAGTTTCTTGGATGCAATAGTAATCTACCGGCGACCGGCATATAATATAAAGGTGCGTTTAGAGTGTGTTATCAAGACGTGAATATCATACATACTTGAATTGTTTTATTGTTATATTATTAATACAGCTGTCTGGTGTCTTAACTTATCGAATTCCAAGTGCGATATTTATTTATGATAATATCTCTTATTATTCTATATTTATCACCAAGAAGTTTTACTTGGTATATATATTTATACTTTATTAATTATTGCAAAGACTATGCGCGTGACATTATATTATGAATTACGATCGACTACACACATAGAACCATAAGTTCGGAGATTGAATTCTTTTAGATAAGCAGATTACTTTTTCTCACTTTTCTTTTATTTAATAATTTGAGTTATTATGCTTGAAAAATAGTATTATTGAGTTTTTTTATGAATTTCTATTGTGTTCTGGTTAAAAGAAAATAATTAGAACTTTTTGATCGTTAATTTTTAAAAATAATTTTGAATTTATTTTTATAAAAAACGAATGAATTTTCTAACTTTGAAAAATATTTTTTTTTTTTATGAATCAGAACTATTATATAATATTTATTTATAACATAAATGTCTTAAAGTATCGATTATTTCTTAAATTATTTGTATAAGATCATAAATAGTGTTAAATCAGATAAAAATTATAAAAAAAATTTTTTTGCAACATAAATGTAAAGTTTCTAAATTATATTGTTATAACTTTATGATTTATTGAAATTTAAAATTAAAAATATTTATACAATTTAACATAATTTTTATTTCTTCATTACGTTTTAAATATCTCTTCATTTCACAGTTGATTAATATACATGAAAATTGTTCCAGTAATTTTATAATTTTGTCTCTGTAATTATATTTTGTACATATGGGTCATTTAATCAAATGAAATAATTTTTACAGAGTAACTCCAACCTATTGTTTTAAAATTTTGTGGAAATATTCTCTATTTAAAAAAAAAAAAATCTGAAAATTTGGACTCCTAACGTCGTCAAGTGTCTTCGAAGTGACGATTTTTTTAATTTCGCCAATTTTAAATTTTTGTATTTTTTCTGTAATTTTTCAAAATAATAACAATTTCAATAAAAGTATGAACAACACTATTTTTTATGCAAAAAGTTTTTCAATGAAGCTATCGAATTTTTTACAAGTCGCCAAAAGCTTTTAAAAATGTAACTGAAACGACTTGATATTAAACGTTCAAATTTTAAAAGATTTTTTTTTGTATTGAAAATCCTTTCTCAAAAATTGGAAATTACTTTCCCGTAAAAATGATTTTATTTGATAAATAACCTAAATATAAAAAATAAAATTGAAGATCTTGGTTACACATTTTAACTCAAAGATGATAAATCTTTAAATATTACTTGACGTAAGGTTGACATATTATTATTTATGCACGATCCATTATCAAGATTTAAAAATAAATCATTCGGATCAATGTTAAATTTAAATCAATAAATCAATAGTACCACTGATTAATTAACAAGTACAGTTAAAAATTATTTTAATCTTTATTTTATTTTAATAAATATTACAAGTCAAAATTCACATTAAATTTATTTGGTAACAATGATCTACTATTTTTTTCAGTATATATCCAAGTTCGCAACCACCAGGACCTCAAACGCCTATAGGTAACAATACAGGATCTTTACCAGATCTGAGTAATGTTCACTTCCCGTCGCCTCTTCACACACCGTTGGACCAAGAAGATCACTCGAGTAGTACACAATATAGTAATGTAAGTATACCTCGTTAACTGAATAAATAAATAAATTTATTTATTTATAAAAAAAGTAATCTAATAGTTAAAAAAATTACAATTATTACACCAGCTAAATTTATATACACTTGCCTCTTTTTTTATTCATTAAAACTTTTCTTTGCTCAATTAATATTAATAAATACTTACTATAAAAATTGTCAAGCATAAAACCTACTTATGATCAACTACTGTAAACTTTATAAAGGTATGGTTCAATGGGAATTTTTTTTTCGATTTCTGTCTTTATTTATTCAAAATAATAATTAATTACTGTCTTTTTTAATTACACATTGTGAGTGCACAAAAGTTTAAAATAAAAAAAAAAACTAAAACGCTTTTACAGGAGATTAAACTGGACAAGGAAAAGAAAAGTTTGATAAAACAAAAAATTAGCTCGGAAGAAAGAAAGAAAGAAGCGAATAAATGCATTGAAAATATTCCCCAGGCAATTCATATATCTTTTGTTTGTTTGTAAAAAGGATTCAAAGATTTATCAATATAAAATTTTCCTGTTTGCACAAAGCTTATAGAATCCTGAATTTATTATTGTATAAGAAACTATTTGTTTTATAATTTTATTTGAATAATCTTTCTTCTTTCGAGCTTTAAAGTCACGGGAAAAACAAATAAGTTTGTTTAAGTATATTTTATTCTAATAAGTAATTTTTTATGATTATGATTATTATTGATTATATTATAGTAAAATGAAGATAAAAGTGAAAACAAGAAAACAAAGCAAATGCTTTAATATTCCAGAGTCCTCAAACGGGCAGTCCTACAACCCTGTCGCCAACCAGCTTGGTGCAAGCTGGAAGGCTATCCTTTTCACAGGATCACAGTCCACCAGGCGCCCAAGTAAATATCCTTGATCCTTGTTTATTATAAAAAAATAAATAAAACGTAGTGTTCAAGCTCGCTGTTAGTGGTAGCCCCTCTTTTTATTTATAGAATCCTTTATAGTAAAAAATATTGTGTTCATTAATTTATTGTAGAAAAAGTACAAAAGAATAATTTATATTTTTAATTCGCGGGTTAAATATTTAGATTGTAAAGTAACAATATATAAATCTAAAGGAAGTATTTATTATACTAATTGAAGGAACATGAATTGTGTTTAATATTTCAATATTCTGGTTCATAATAAATTACAAGATTTAATATTATAAAAATATATAAGTTGATTAACAATATGTATTCAAGATTATTTTTATGATAATTTGTCATACAGATTTAGTAGTAATAACGAAAAAAAATTAGCCTTTAAAAATATTTTCGGCAAAATTATTCAATTGTAAAATAAAAAAAAAATTATTTATAAAAAAATTCATTAAAAATTAATCCTTCGGCTTATTTTCTTAGTGATTAATTTTAATTAATCAAAAAAATTTTTGACAGTAACGGTACAAAAATTAAAAGTTTACTTGTTACTTATATTTGTGTAGCATAACAATGAATTCAAATAAGGTAAATACCCAGTACTTGAACACTTCTAAAAATGGGACCAGTAGTTGAACAGACTTTTAGAATTGCTGTAATACAAAATCTGTATATATATTATGAGTAATATGCGCATTTTATAATTATTCAATGATACAGTAATTGATTTTGGTAAGTTTTTTCAATTATAAATCAAAAAAATTATATTTTTGTTAATTTTAAAGTTGACATGTCAAGAATCGCCGATAGATGGTATTTTTTTCATGAAAAAGGTACTAAACCGTAAACCGAACAATCAATAAAAAAAACGGTCTATCATCATTTTAACTGAAAAAAATTGTACCACCCAATGAAATAGTCTTTTCTAAATAATACATATTTTTTGCAAAGACATAAACTATAATTTTTATATTAAATTTTAGCGTTCAACTATACCTCCCAATTTTCAAAGCAGTACCCAGAACTTGAACAAGCTGGGGCGGTATAATTTTAACAGCACTCTAATCTTTAATAGGTTTATAGACTAGTGATCAGTATTGTGATTTGTATTAATTACTGCAAATTAAATAATTTTTATAACTAAAAATTAGTATAGTTAAAAACTATTGAACGTTTTAAATTGAGTTTTTTTTTATTTATAATTGAAAATTTACTTTGTCATTCATAAAAAATGTAATTAATAAATTAAATACAAATATTTCTCATTTTTAAATGAACATATTAAATATTCACAGTATTATTCTTAATATTATTCAATAACATATTTATTAGTTCAACTACTGCTCCCGGAGTGTTCAACTACTGCGGCTTGTCAGAATTGATTGTTCAACTACTACTCCTTTCATAGTCTATCTTACAAACGTTGTCAAATTATAAATATTTAATTATTTTTGTTATTTTGCGCTTCAATCAATTCAAAATTGTTTATATTTTCATGAAAATCACTAATTTGAACTAATAATTACATCTTCATTTATTAAAAATAGGGTCAAATACGTTTTACTTTGAAACCTGTTCAACTACTGGGTACTTTACCTTAGTATTAAAAGACAACTTATGATAAAAAATGTTGAAAATATTAAACACTAAATTTTAACTCTTATGACGAATTTTCTCAACCAAATCACACAAAATTTTTTATTTTTTTTTTTACCGAGGCTGCTGACCCCAGCATAGGAGAAAAAAAAATATTTTTCATTAAGCCGCCTTCTGTTGGAAGATATTTGACCTCCACGTCCGTTAATTACATTTGAATAATAAAAATAAAATAAAATTACTCAAAAAAATGCTGTTACTGTAGAAAAGTTAAAAAGCGAGCATGAAAATACAAAGCTTTTTTCGGAAGAACGTTACTTATATGTACTATTTAGCATGAAAATAGTATAGTAGGTTAATTGCATGAGTAGCTTGAGTGCAGTGATAGACCACGCCGAATGGACATTGTGTGTGCTAAAAACGTAAATATACTACACAAGTCTCGTGAGTGCATCGCGTGCCTCAACACACAAACATTCACATATCTTACACAGAGCGTACTATACGACTCGAGCGTACGAGTATTTCTGGTCACGTTATCACCCCATACTACATTACACTAGAGAGAGAGAGAGTACGCAAGAGAGAGCCTTCCGCATTTCGATGGCATCCTCGAGGCCGTTGTTGTTCGAGGGGAAGGTCGTAAGTTGATTGCATGAAAGAGATTACCATCGTTACTCCTCGATTATCACTTGCTTCTACTTTGTCTTTATTTCTCTTTTTTTCTTTTTCATTTATTTTTTCACTTGTCGAAAGACATTTTTTAATTCATTCTTACATTCCAACCCTTTTGAAGAGTACACTCAAAAAAATTAGTTCTTTGATTGGAGAAATTTTCATTATCGAGTTGATGAATTAAAATTCTTGAATGGAAAGCAGAAATTTTTCTAGTAATTATTTTTTCTTCTTCTTAAACGGTACAACAATTTTTTTGGAAATGTTTTTTTATAATTTCAGTTAATTCTTAACTTCTTGTTGAATAATTTTCCAAAAAGTCAAATTTTTTTTGTGACGCTTGGGTTAATGAAGGGTTGATTGTTTTCAAAGAAGAAATAAAAAAATTTTTTGCTGGAAAATTTTCTCTTAGATCAAAAGATTGTATAAAAATAATGTAGAGTTTTTTAAATTAAATTTGCTGGCTTTTCAGAATTAAAATATCACTTTTGCTTCAAAATTATATTTCTTCAGTATATAATAAAAAATTACCAAAAAATTGATTTATAGTTGAGTATTTTATTTATATTAAAGTCCTAGTGAAGTTGTTATTATAATAATTTATTATATTATATATTATAACTTTTACTATAATTGTAATTTACATGCTCTTTTCCTATAATGCTGCTAAACTCTCTTCAAGTTATAATCTCAAAATTAAAACAAAAATTGTTATCAAAATTAACCATAAAATAGATTTTGATTATATGATTATTAAAAATTAGTTTATATTGACTGAAGAAAATAAATTTGTTAATCAAAGATATACAAATTTTAAGTAAAGAATTAATAATAATAATATTTATTTAGCAAATTGTTACCTTTCTTTTATTACAATAATTAATAAATCAAGAGAAAAAATTGTAGCAGCAAAAAACTAGTTTTCTTCAAAACAATTATCTTTTTTGATTATTTTTCTTAAATCAAAGTTAATTTTTCTATCAGTGTATTCACAAAAGCTAAATATATATTGCACAGCTTATTTATTATAATTTATTTTAATTATTATTATTATTATTATTATTAATATTATTATTATTTCTATTATTTTTTATTTGGCTTTTTTTGTAGTGTTTCTTTGTCTTTGTTATTTTGCAGAACCATTTATCAGTGCCTGTTAACTCTAGATTTCTTCATACATGTAAGGTCAGTAGATATATAAATTTTCATTCGCTTTATTATTTATTTTAAAATAATTGTTTATTATTTATTATTTACCATTACCATTACAATTATTATTTATTTCTAACCATTTATCTGTTACTTAACACTAGAAGTAATATAAGTGCTTGTATTTATATATTTGCAGAGATATATTTATAAGGTAAATAAAAACAAAACATCAGAGTATGAATACAATGAAAAATTAAATGGCCGTAAATAATTAGATGAATAGAGGTTTGATAAATTTAAGAGATTCTTAGAATAGTTAAATAACTCAACCTAAAATTCTAGTTCTTCTAACGATAAATTATTAATTTTAAAGCAGGGTGTGACGTTGGAAAATAGTACAAGTACTTCGCAGCAGGATTTACGCTCGTACGGACAACAAACGGCTCAGCAACCACCCTCAACATCTCACAGTCCTGGTCACCACTATATTTATCAGCAGCCACACAGTCCTGTGCCGCCGCAAAGTCCCGTGAGTATATGACACACAACAAGTGTAGTGTTATATAGAGTGTACCTAGACTGTACAATTAATATAATCACGTCATCCTCATGCTTATCCCATCATGATCAACGATCACGATGTTGTGTATCATGTCTAGGATATATTGTATCATAATATGTACCTACATTTTTTTTATCAATATTGTTTTAAAATTACTGGAAAATTTTTAATTTTGGAAGTTCTGAATAAAAAAATAATTCATTTGAATCAAGAAAATAATTTTTAAAAACTTAATTGTGTTGATTTAAGTAGAAAAATTCTTCAATTAAGAAATTGATTTTGGTTTAAATAAATTTTACTTCATTCAAAAATTTTTCGTCTCGATTCAAGAAATTGAAATTCTTCAAATTCATTTTTTTGGTTCAAGAATTTTTCTTTTGATTCGTTATTTTTTTTTTTTTTTTGTGTAAAAAGAAAACATTTTTTTTGACTCAAGAAAATATTAAGAAAGTATAAAAATTTCTTAAATAAAGTAAAAACTTCTTGAGCCAAGAAATTTTTTTTTGCTCCAAAATAATTGTGGTCTTCCTCAAAATTTTTTTAGGCACAAGAATTTATTTTTAATTTGTGTATTAAATAAGTAGATAAATTTTATTAAGAAAATTATGCGAAATTAAAATTAGCAAACATTTAACCATTTTTTTTGTTTCTTATTTAAATTACTATTAAAAATAGTACCTAAGAACATTGTACCAATAGTTCATTAAAATTTCCACAAATGAAACCGAAATAACATAAAAAATTTATAATAATCTTAAGAAAACTCATGAAAGTAATCAGTTTGTCAATTTCGATGTTATAAAATTTTCATTAAAAATATTTCAAATCTTTCATTTTTTTTAATATTTTATATAAAATATTTCAAATATAAAACAACATTAACTGTTTAAGAGTATAAGGTGAATAAAGAAAAATATATTTTACTTGAAGAACGTGATGATTTAGTATGTGTAAATTTGATTAATCACGTTTCCCAACTTGAATATATTTTTCTTTTGTCATGCATGATTAATGATTATGTGTATAATATTACATATACGTATAACATATTATTTATGATAATAGAATGGATCTCAAACGCATCAATCGCAACAGCAACTAAATTCCCTGGGATCGTATCGCACCAACCAACCATTAAATCGGCCGTCTCCTCAATCGTCGCCTGGCATAACCCTTCAGGTAAGATCCACTTCGCAATCTTTCTAACTAACTAATCAGTTAAATGTTCAAATAATTTATTGACCATATAATTGACATTGCATTACAGGGCAGTCCTTTGAGCTACAGCAATAATCCTTCAGCGCCACCGAGTCCTACAGGTCACCCGGGATCGACGGGTCTTACCTCTGATAGTTTAGATCAAAATAGTTATTTCCTCACTCAGGTGCAAGCTGCGGCGCTTCAACAGACTTTTGAGCAATTCAACATGGTTAGTTTGCTTTTACTTAATTAATTTATTTAATTGCTGGTTGTAATTGAATTGTTAATTTGAAGAAGCGCATTTTTTTTAAATTTACATTTTAAATCACAAAAATGTTGAAGAATATTTTGACAATTTTTAGATGATAATTTATAATAATTCTAGTGTACCCGACAGACGTTGTCCTGTACACACGTCTTAAATTTAGAAATTTTAGGAATGAGCTTGTATAGTTATAGTATATTAGTTATTAGTATATATATATATGATATTTATGAAATATATAAAATATATGAAAAATGCATGTGGGTACTCAAATGAAAGGTCTCGATGAGTGTAACATCGGGATGAGATTATATCTTTAAAGACGTCAATAATTAAGAAATCACATTGTATCTTGTCAACTAATGATATTTTTAAAGATATAAGCTCATCTCGACATTACACTCATTAAGACCTTTCATTTGAGTACCTACATCAATTTTTCATATATTTTATATATTTATCTATATTATATATATGTATATATTAAAAATATGTCAAAAATGCATGTGGGTACTCAAATGAAAGCTCTTGATAAGTGTAACATCGGAATGAACTTATATCGTTAAAAATATCATTATTTAACAAAATACATTATCATTCGTTAATTATTAACATTTTCGTAAATATAAGTCCATTATGATTTTATACTCATCTATACGTTTTAGCAATTATAACAATTGATAAATTGATCTTAACTTTTTCATTAAAAGATACAAATTTTTACCGAGTGTCTATCAGAGAAAAAAATGTATAAGTGCGCTCTTTTTAAAATCCTAAACGATTCAATTATTACAGTTATAATTGAAATACTATATAATAAAACAAAATACTAAAATTTTCCATAATCTTTTGTTTGTGCTGGAACCTAAGGGAGTGGTAAGTAAACTGTCGACGTTAATGGTTTAGTAGAATAAGAATATAAAAGCACAATAGAGTAAATTATTTTTTATTTTGTTTAAATGCAAATCCAGGATGTGGTGAGTACACTCCAGTGAATGTTTAACGGTGTAATTGTATTGTTTAATTGTTTTTAAGTGCTATAAAAATTTTTTATTTAAATCTATTTTTTTTCCAAAAGGTACTTTAGTTGTTACAATGTTTATTACATATAAATACTGTGTATTGTATAAGAGGCTTTGGGTTACTGAGATTTGTAATTCATCAAAGAGGAAGGAAGGTGTACTAATTGTTAGTGTTGTTATTATGCGATGCTTAATTTCGTATTTTTATTTATAATTTCCTACTATAAAAGAACACTTGCAACCTGTGACGATAACACTGGTACTAAAAGGTTGCATTATTTATCTGTTACCTGCTTACCTACCGTTAGGATTGGGCTCAAGTGGTGCAGCAGCTCGTGGAGTCCGGTTGGACCACTCAGGTAGTTCTGGTTTCGCCCCTAAAACAAAACCTATTAATTATTATTCTTTTTCTTATTCTTATTCTATTATAAGACTTTAATTATAATCATATATTTTTTTTTAGTAAATCATTTCATACAATAGGGTGGAGTTAATTATATTACCATTCAGACATAATGGACAGCCCGGATTGGATTTTTTGTTCTTTTCTCTTTAATTATTTTATTTATTATTTTTTGTTCTTTTTCGTCTTTCATTGTTTGTGTTTTTTTAGGCGAAAGAAAATGGAATGGGATCCAAGTTTATAATAGAGAAAATAAAATTCCGTACCGGAGGTATTAAAATTGAGCGGATCGATGTTTTCATACAACTTTTTTTATGTTTATTACTATTATTATTTTTTTTTTTTAAAGTTAAGTTTATACTTTTTATATTTGTTCCTATAGTTTTATTTCAACTGTTCTTCTGAGTAAACAGCAGCGCTAAAGTTTTTTTGTATATACAATAGCAAGGATAATTATTGAAAATTGTGAATTATTTTTTCTGTCCTAGACGGATTCGTCGTTGGATCCAAACTCCATTGGTTCGTACATCGGCTCACCAAATGACACATCTAGTTTTATTCATGTTAGTTAAGATTTATTGTATAAATTGTATTATTATAATAATTTCAATTACTACTATACTATTATTTATTAATTATTAATTTTTAAATAATAAAAACTTAAAATTTATCATGAAGTATACTTAAACAAACTTGTGATTAATTAATATTACTGTACATGTTACAGAATGACATGATTAATGTCGGTGGTGAGTTGGGTAGCAACGACACAAGCTACTACAGCACGAGTCCTCAGATGGCGTATCAACCAAGGACGCCTACGACGACGCAACAATTGACACCTCAAACGCCAAATACACCTACAATTATATTGACCGGTATATTATTAATTCAATAAATTATTTATTTACTAAAAAAATCTCCTCAAATATTAGACTGTCAGAATAGAGAATTAGTTTTTTTTTTATCACTACTGAATATTGATAATTATTTTTATACACAGAAAAAAAGGTTCACTTGAGCCAAGAAAATATTTTTCTTCCTAATTATTTTCTTGAGAGAAAAAAAAATTTTTTTTTTACACAAGAAATTTCACTTATTCCAACAAAATTAATTCTCTTGCTTTAAGAAATACGTATCTTGATCCAAGAAAATTTATTTAAATCAAGAAAATTTTCTTGTTTTGAAAAAATTCAGCTTCTTGCTCTAAAAAATTTAGTTTTTGATAAAAGTAAATTTTCTTGTCTTGAGAAAATTTCTCTCTTGCTCCAAAAAATTAAATATAAAGATAGAAGTAAATTTTCATTAATATTTTTATTGATTAACATGTCAAATGGGAAGCTCAAATAATATTTCATCATTTTTTTTCATTCAATATGTATAATTGCACGCTAAAATAATATAAAATGGGTATCAAATATTCAACAGAAAATTTATCTAAAAATCTTGATCAAATATAAAAATTTATTGTATCAAGTATTTATGATAATTTGAATTAAGAAAAAATTACTTCCACCAAGAAGAAAATTTCAAGAAAAATTTTTATTTCGACCGACACAACTTCGGTCTTCCTTCAGGCACCCGAAAATTTTCTTGAGCCAAGAATTTTGTTCTCCAGTCAAGAAACTTTTCTTTCTGTGTAATACCAAAAAATTACATGGGGGATTTTTATTAATTTAAGTGCAAATTATTTTAACAATTTAATAAATTATAACAAATACAATTAAATGACATTATTTTACAGATTTTTCGGGCACTGATGACTTAACGAAGGATCTCGGTTCATCGATTTCAAGCGACTTTGATCCAGACCTGTTTGCCTCGGACGAAGCTCTAAGACAAGGCTTAGGTCCGCTTGACCTAGATGGGTTGCAGATGCTCACTGATCCCGACGCGGCGATATCTGACGCAACTGTCGAAGATCACTTTAGATTAGATTGTCTCTAAAGATGTAAGATAGCGTTTTAAAAATGAGATTTTATTGTAATGAAAGGGTGAGAGAAAGAGAGAGAGAGAGAGAGAGAAAGAGAGAAAGAAAAAGAGTGGAAGAAATAACTTAGAATATTATAATTGTTGAAACAGAGATAAAGAGAATGCCCAATCGACTGCGGATTAAGTGTTCGTCGTTCTTTAGGATTAATATCTTCATCCTGATGTCTTAGATAATTAAGACATGTTGACATGCACGTTAAAAGATGATAATAATAACAATAATAGTAAAAATAATAATCGGGACGATGATGCTGAAAAATATAATAATTCTTAAAGAAGTGATGAAGGTGAAATAAATCTCAGACGTTACTCAAGTGTCGCGCCTCCAACGAGCTGCTATTTTAACATCGGAAGATCACCCTCAAATATTTATTATTATTATTTTATTCTTATTCTTATTATTATTATGATTATTAACGACACAATTTATGTACACAGTTTTCGAATTTATTTAATCTATTTACACATATTCCTCTATAAGTTTATACTCTCCTTTGTGGAAATACAGCTGCTTGTTGAAAGCTACAACAAGTGATCCCATGTTGACTGTATCATTCGTGATAAAAAGAAAATTAATTTAAAAAATAAATAATAAAATTATACATAAATAAAATAAATAATAACGCGTCGTCATTTTTTGAAGACAAAAAAGGAAATAATATAAAAAATTTATCAATCTGTTTTTATCTTTATTTTTTACTACTTTGTATATTATTGTATCATACATATATATGATCTCTGAAAAGCACAAAAAACAGAAAACAAGGACAAACAAAAATAAATAATAATACTTAATAGAGTGATGTTTGATGATTTGTATACATGCTTTCATTTTTACGCGGATATATTAAATGTATATCTCAGTGATTAAACCCTATATCGTGTAATAGAGTAGGTACGTAGAGATTTCACGTAATGACTCGTCTAGGGACTTGTTATAATGTATAATAACAATAATAAAAAATAAATAATAATAATAGAATAATATATGTTATCGGAACTGATGTTAGAAAGACAAAGATAAGAAGATGGTTATTCAACGACAAATCAACAACATCGTTTTAATAGTCAATAACTTAAAAAATTTTATTAAAATTAATTGTTTTTCTGTTTCTATTCTATTATATTTCGTTACTATTATTGTTATTATTATTATTATTATTATTATTATTATTATTATTATTATTATTATTATTATTATTATTATTATTATAATAATTATTATTGAATATTAACATAAATAATTAATATCTCTTTAAAATATATAATTGAATGGATACGATTAGAATCGAAAACACCTTCATTACACTGTGATATACTTCTTGTTGTTGTCTGCATATCATTTTAAACTGTTAAACGCCTTCGCGTTTTAATAAGAAAAAAAAAATAATATTGAAGCGTATATTTAAATAAATTATGTAATTAAAAGGCTAAAATTATGTGTCAATTGGTAATCAATTAATGATATTTGTTAAAAAAAATATTTATAAATTTTATATGAGATTCGCGCAAATTATAACATATATATGTTTTGTAAATTTTAATAGGTATTACATTTGTATTGTATTGTTTATTCACAGCAGATTAATTATTTAAAAGAGAGCTTATGATATTGAGATCTGATTACATAGAAGAATGTACTTATTGATATGATGTCGTTAAAAATATTAAATCTCATACGTTTATTCTATCGAAAAGTCTTATTGGTAATTATTGATATAGAAAATTATAATAAACTAAGCGATTTAAATTATATAAAGTAAATAAAAATAAAAAATAGTTAAAGTATAAATAAAACTAGATAACAAATTTAATACAAAAACAAATAAATAAACTAAAGGCACGTAGATGCTCTCGCCTGTACCCTCCGTAATTGTCAATTGTTTTTTGAAAGTAATACGCTGTACTTTATAAACATAACTAGTTAATCAAAAAAGCTAAGCTAAATTCTTTTTAAAAAATTTAAAATTATATGATTAATGATAAATATTAACAGAATAATAATCAGTATATAATAAATTTTTAAATATGTCTCTTATTAACAGCATATAAATTGGATATAAATAATGATATGAAAGAATAATGTGTGAAGATTTTGATCGGTGAGAAAAAAAAATATCAATTTACAAATATTACTTAAAAAGTAATTTTTTTTTTTTTTTTTTTTTTTTTTTTTTTTTAAGTCATTACAACAGATAAAATATTAAATGAGAGCATCTGTAGTTGCCCAATGTAGTAACTGCAAATTACATTCATTCAATAGTTCTTATCTTATTAATAAAAAATAAAAATAAAAAAAAAACAATTCCGTCGAATTATAATATTATCAACAGTGAAACATTGATAAATATTTCGTTAACTTTGTAACTAGTTTAACTGAAGACAGTGTTCGTACTTAAACTAATAAATTAAATAGTAGCTTATCTGTACGAGATTTTTTTTTATTACGAGGTATCTTACAACAACAACAACAACAATTATAATTAAGACAACGAGCAACGGAAGGATATATTTGATGTATTATATAATTTTTTTTATTTGTCTGATACATACGTCTGTAACAAATGTATAACATTAATATTTAAGCTGTTGAATAATTTTGAAAATTAACTTAATGAGCACTTTTGAATCAATTGTTATTTCATTGATTATTTTTTTATTTATTTTGAATACTGCTGTTTTTTAAATGGATTTTAGCGATGTTGAGAGATACCTATTTATATTCATTGGAGAGGAAAACAAGTGGACACATAACAAGTACATATGTAACTTGAATAAGAATTAAAAGTAATCATAAAAAGAATATGTGCGTGCAAATGCATACAAGTCACGAAACACTAGTCTCATTGTTTTCATTTTCTTTTTTTACATATGTATATTTTTTATTACTTATTGCTATTTTTTTTGTTTTTATTTAAATAATTAACTGTGTGTAGAGAATTGTAGAGTCATATAAAAGACAATTAGGGCAATAAAATGAGCGGTTTAGAAAATTTAAATGAAAGTTTGCGAACGAGTGTATGGAAAAATTAATAAGGTGACGAAAATTTAATAATTGTGTGCGAGTTGTGTATACTGAAAAATAATTCATTAATATAATAATAATAATGATAATTAATATTTAATTATATTAAACTAAAATAGAAGCAAAATGAAGGTGTAATAAATTGTAAATAGCTAATATTAGATGTGGTATACATAAATATAAATTTAAAAATATAAACAAGTAATAATACATTTTTAAAAGAAATGATAATTATTATTATAATTGTGTTTTGTAGATTTTTAAACTTCGATTTTCGAATTTTTAATATTTAATATTTCAAAATAATTCTAATTGGTTTATTATTATTGAATAAATAAAATAAAATTGCGAATAACATTCAAGTGTATTCATATAATCTTTTATTAATCAACGAATAAAATTTTCAATATAAAAGAAGCTATTGTAATTAAGGATTTTTAAAAGTTTTTCTTACACAAATATTCAAATTTTTGACGTCAGTAGCGATTTAATTATTTACCAATTTTACTATCGTTGCTATAAAATTAACAATAAATAAAGAGATTTCATAAAATGAAATAAAAAAAAAATTTCATCTTTATTGTAAATTTATTCTATTATATTTATGCATAATAAAATAATTCATTGACTAAATTGAAAATTTAATTGAATAAATAAAATTTAAATAATATACATCAGAATTTCAAATTTTGAAAACGTAATAATTGCATATTCATCATTTAAATAAAATTAGCTCTCTAATGAAAATAAAAATCTTTTTTAATTATAATTTCGTTTTTCTATACTGAGTGAGTGATGGCAGAGAAGATAAATAATAATAATAACAATAATAATAATCTTATAAATTAAAACGTTGTAAATAATGGTCTTCTATGAATTGTATAATATATGATGGTTTGTATTAGATTTATTGTAATCGTTCGAACACAGAAAGAAAAATATATACAAATACTGTACGACAATTCTAAAAGCGCACAAATTAAAAAAAAAGTAAAGAAAGAAAAGAAAGAAAAGTATACAATTAAATTTAAAATTGAAATAATAAATTTATTAAAAAAAAAAAAAAAAGAAAATGGTTTATAATTAAATCATTATAATGAGTCTTCGTGTTTCTTCATGAATTAAAGACCATGGCTCCAAATAAAAATTGTAAGAATTATATAAAATCATATTTTTAGTAATTATTTAAAAATTTAATAACTGATTATGATGAGTGAATAATAAAAAAGTATTCGCATCTAGTGAGAGCTGACAAAAAAAAAATAAATTGACATCGAAGTGATATGAGAAGTTTCTCGTTTGTTGAATTGTTTATTATTTTTTAATTAATTATTGTATTATTATTATTATTATTATTATTATTATTATTTTTATTTTTAATTGTTCTCCAGCACAATGGAGTTTATCATAGAATTATTTAAACAATAATTGTAATAATAAGAAGATACGTTAGATATTAAATGTTTTTTTTAGAGAATTTTGTAAATAATCAGGCTCTATTAAATTGTCGTTATAATATCTAAACGATTTATATATATATATTTATATTTCTGTATGTATAAATTTATATAACTCTGTTTATTATTACCTTTAATCATTATTTATTTTATTTTTTTGTACTTGAATATTGTAATTATTTTTTTTACATTGTTTAATTAAAGAAGATGGCCATTTTTTACTTAAAATTATAGTTAGACAACTCTATAAATTCATTAAATATTATTTATGCTTTTTTTTTATACAAAAATTTATTGTAACATATTTAATTAATATTAATATTAGTTATTGTCTCTGTTATAAAAATCAATATTTTTTATTAATTAATGAATTTAATAATAAAGTTGTCTCGCTGCAAATGTAAATCTTCTTACAAAGTTGAGTACTAGATTAAAATTCATTATCTGTCACTAATTAATAACTAACTATGATTTATATCGTTTTATCCGTTTATAACGAGTGAGTGAATCCGCAGGATCTTTCGGAAAACCTCCAAAGGCTTCTTTGTATTCAGAAGCTATTTGCGCATTATCTTGTGAATTGAGTACGTTTAATCCATCGTCTGATTGATCTTCCCCATTTGAATTTTTATTCTCAACAGCTTCTACCGATCTTCCTTCTCTTTCTACGATATCCCATCTTTTATAGTGTCTCTATCAAAGTTAACAACAATTAAATTATTACAACAAGAAATATGATGCATAAATAAATAACAAATATAAACAGGTTAACATTGAATAAAAATACTATAGTGCGAATGCTTGTGCCTGTGATTGTCTTTATTGATTTTAACATGAGCTTTTCTTTTAGAAGCTTGTATATTTCTTCTCTTTCCACGATTCAAATTGCTAACAGAGAATTTAGACTTAATATTTTTCTTACTACGCTGGTCGAAAGTACGGGTTCCCGCTGCGATTTCACTGCAGAAAGCTTGACATTTATGCCGTGGTCGAGTCGCGCATGCGCTCTACGACGGAGAGCCCAAAAAATGTATATTTGGGCTCACTCTATTACTTATGTTTACAAGCCTAATTTTACTTGTGATTGTTATGAATGTATCTGTTTTGTTATGTGTCAATGATTTTAAGTTGAAACTAAGTTAATTACAGAAAATGAATATTTATTTTAATGAAATGAGACTTGTTAAATATTTAAATTACAAATAAAAAAAAAAAAATATATTTTATTCTGATAGATTTTCTCAAATAAATAAATAAATTCATTATTGAACAAGTAATTATTTTAAAAAACACACACACACACACACACACACATACCTACATACATACATACATACAGCCGCACGGACACCATCGCGGGAATAGTCAGGGAAGCTTCCTAGGACCTTAAAACGTCGAGATCTGATGAAAACTCAATTTTCGCAAAACGGGGTAAAACCAATAATTTCGCGATTTTTGAAAATTTTCAATTTTTTCAGCGGGAAGTTAAAAATTAGGAAAACGGTTGACCCTAAAAGCCATCCTTGCAACTTCCCACTGATTCCATACTTAAGAACACACAATTGCACTTATTACGCTTTTGAGCTCTTCGAGCTCAAAAAATTTGTTATTTTCGTATCATTTTGAGCTTTTTGAGCTTAAGTCTGGTATAAGTTTATTGAAACACTATTTTTTGAATTTTTAAACCAGAAGAACTTTAGTATGAATGCACCGTTTTTCTAAGTCTTATAAAAGATCCTTAAGTTCAAGTAGTTCGAGCTCAGAATTTCGAAGTAATTTCGAAAAAACACTTTTTTCGGTTTTCTTTCGTTCACGATAACTTACGAACGAATCAACCGATTTTGATCGGTTCAACGGTGATCGACGTGGGTTTTTAAGGTTAAGAGCTGATTAGTTTTTGGAATCGATCGGCAAAGCCATTTAAAAGTTATTAAAAAAAAACGATTTTTCGAAAATTTTGTTTTTGAGATTTCTAAAAATCTAGCGAACCGAATCGATTCAAATTTTCACGAAATTTAATGGCTATGATACTCTTTGGATCGCCACCGATTTCGATCCGATCGGCCAAGCCGTTCAAAAGTTATAAGAGGTTTACATAAATACACACACACACACACAGCCGCACGGACACCATCGCGGGAATAGTCAGGGAAGCTTCCTAGGACCTTAAAATGTCGAGATCTGATGAAAACTTGATTTTTGCAAAACGGGGTGAAAACAATAACTTCCCGATTTTTGAAAATCTGAGATTTTTAGTGAGAAGTTAAAAATATTCTATTCACCAACTTACCTTTGATTTAGAAGTGATGAGATTTGAATCAACAGCATTACTTCTAATTGAAATATTTTTAGACACAGACTTTTTTCTCTTTTTAACAACCGGTTTCTTAGATTTATTTTTTCTTTCTAAAGAAGCTGATCTTTTCTTCACTTTTTTATCTACATCATTAGAGAGCGGACATGTATTTGTGAAAATATTTTTAATCTCATTAGATTTTAAATTACTGTTTTCTATTTCTTCACTTCTTTTATCTAAATCAATTTGTTCTCTTACTATCTTTTTAAGTGCTTCTATTTTTTTATCTATATCTTCTTGAGAAGTTTTTACCAGACCCTTCTCATTATAAGTAATCATCCTTCGTTTTACAGATCTTTTATTTTTATCATTACCCTCACTAATTTTGATATTAATCTTGTCATTAGAATTATCTTCCCGCTTTTTAATATTTTGACTGTGATGTTCAAGCTGCCGAGGATTGTCGATCTCATAAGTATCAACTTCAATTTTAACCAACCGTGGAGTGGCTGCAAACTTCGAATCATCATCCTGGTTATTGATTTGTGATTTTTTATACCGATTCTTTAAACTGATAATTTCATTTTCTACTTTACGCTGCAGTTCCGCTAATTCTGTTTTTGTAACTTCAAGCTCAGCTTGTCTCTTCATTGATTCACGATCTTCTTTGTCACGTTTTTGACGCGACACTTTTTGTTTATCATTTAAATTGTTTTCATAAATTTGTCTGGATTTTTTTTCGTGCTCAAATAATCTTTTTTCTTCATCTAGTGACTTTATACTTTTCTTCAATCTTTAAATGCAATAAAAAAAATTATTGAAAATTTCTTCTTCGACTGAAGCTATTTTCGTTAGTAAGATTTTTATATATTGGGAGTTTTAAAAAGTAGTAGGGAATAATATTTGAAGAAATATTATAACTAAATATTAAATAGAATTGTTTAAAGCTTTTGATAAAACTTTTAAATCTCAATTATCATCATTTAATATAATTTCTACTACTTAAAATATAAAGGGTATATAAAGGGCTTATTAACGAAATCTCCGCCATTTTAAGTATAATACTCATTAGCGTAAATTTGTTGCAAAAATAATTGATTATTTATTACATTAAAATTGGCAGACACGACAGTTTTTTTATTTTAATAATTAAACTAAGTTTAGAAAATTTTTTTATTTTTTTTTTTAATAATAAACTAAGTTTAGAAAATTATTAAAAAAAAATTGCATTTATAATTTTTTAAAGCTTCTATAGATGAAATTTTCTAAATAAATTTTTCTTGCTATAATTTATATGAAGATTAATTTAGCAGATATTTGATAATTTTAAGAATTTTTTTAACAATTAATTATGGCAAAAAAAGTAGAAAAAAAAATTGACATGTAGGAATTTAAAAAAATAAAAAATGCAATTTTTTTAAAATGATTTTTTGGAAAAAATCTATTTATTAGAAAAAATTGAAAAATGGTTAAGTGACTGCTAACTTTAATGTCATATAATTTATTAGTTAAAAAATTTCTAAAAATTATGAAATGTCTCTCAATTTCTATATCATAAATATTTATGGATAATAATAATTAAAATTAAATATTACCTTGAATTTTTAGTCAAGCATTCATTGAAATTAAGACACACAATTACTAAAGTAATTACTAAATTTAGAGTTATATAATGTTTCATTGTATTTCAATTACTGCAAACCAATTAAACATTTCCATCAATTAATTCTTAATGTAATAAACACTTTGAGTTATTACATTGATGAATATTATTGTAATTGTATATTTCCATATTTCAGAGTTTTTTTTTTTTTTTCAATAGACAGAAGTGGCAAAACAATGGAAGCGTGATTGAAAAATTGACATTCATCATTTTTTTATGACTGAAGTAAGTAAGTAAATAAATAAATAAATAAATAATTATTTGATTTTATAATTATACTATACATTTATAAACATTTTAATTTTATACACATAAGCTCGATTTTATTTTACAAATAAATATATTTTATTTTAATAAATAAAATTAGTGATTATTTTCTAACAAATCTCTCGTATGTATATCCAGTATACATATTTGAGCGTAAACTCTTGATAAGTTAACATCCACAACCAGAAAATTGACCAATGTTAAGCATTCGATAATCGAAGTGCTTCATGATCTTTTCAACAATAAATAACATTTATTAATTATGTAATTAATTACAGTAAATTTTCTTTATTTCACTCTAAAAAATTTATAGAATAAACTACACATTATAATTTTAATAAATTGTATTTATACTTAATATATCAATTATTTAATTGTCTTAAATTGTACTCTCTAGTATAAAAAGGCAGTGGGTTTAAATAAAAAAGGAGTAAATAAATAATAATAAAATAAAAATAATATATTTAAAGTAATTTATTCAAACAAAAAAAAAAATAAATTACGTATTATCATACATACGTAGAAATCAAAACAAAATATAATTTATAAATTTGTATTAGGACAAATAATAATAATAATAATAATAATAATAATAATAATAATAATAACTAAATAAATCTGAAAAAAATAAAGCTTTGAAATAACAAAATTAATAATGCATAAAAAATAATAATAAAAAAAATTGTTAGTAAGTCTCATTGATAAATCCATTTTCGTATTGAATCTATAATTACGAAAATACTAATTGATATATATTGCACTTGCAACAGTAAATAGTACGTATTGTAAATTATAAATATAATTTTTTTTTTTGCATTAAGCTAAATAAATGCTATACTAGATATATAACATTTATTTTTTAAATCTTCAAGCTATAAAAAAAATTGTATCACCATACAACAGTATGTAAGTATATTTTAATGATAAAATAATTATACCCATTCCTTTTGATTGAAAAAAAAAAGTAATTATGGCATTGAAAAATAATGACATTTAAAAAAATGTTTAACTATTTGTTAGTTACTTGCATAATGATTACGTACTTCAAAGAATTATCACACTGATGATCCGTAGGCTTAACTTTAAACATTAGTAATAATAATTAATTGAGACAAAAATAATTTTCAATTAATTGGATACAAGTGGCATGTAAAATTTATGTTTAGGAGTGTCTCTGGTATGCTTGAACGGAGCCTGTTTAGCTTCAAGAAGAGAAGCAGGACAAGGACCACGAACCCTGGGTATGAACTCCTTCTTGTACATGCTTGAAGTAGTAGTGCTGCCATCACCAAGGCTGATGTGAGATTCATTGGACTGCCTGTGAACACGTTCAACCTTCTGTCCGCTTTGCTTGAAGTTTCCATAGCTTTTAGCTTCACTGTGAGAGTAAAATTTCCCCCCGACCGTCAAATTATCCTTCCTGGCTAACTGTTGTGATCTTTCGTAGGTTGAAGAAGCGTAAGGATTGCCGCCGTCTTTAGCGTTTCTGTGCAACGAAGTCAGACTGCGTCGATCAGAGCTCTGGGAAGAGTTGCTGATGTACTGTCCGCTCTCAGTGAGATTTGAAATGCTTTTCTTCTGGTCAGCAGCAGTGGAAGAGCTCACATGGAGCGCTTCAGTCGATGTAACTACACCGCGGCGATGTAAGACTGAATTATTTACGTCAGTCGACGATGAGCTGATGACGTTTTTCCTGTGGTGCGAAGATTTCATACCAGCGGCATGCAAATGCGTTTGATCTGAAGATTGATGGTGAGCAGCACCGTTGATGGCTTGTCTGAACTCTGAGCTGGTCTGTCCGTTGTTGGAAACAATTCTTCGCTGAGAAGACTCTTTCTGACGGCTTTCATTGACGACATGTTGGTTGACGTAGTCGCGCCGAGAGCTGGAAGTTTGATGCTGAGTTCTCTGCTGCCTCGACACATCTGATGAGTATCTCTGGGTATCAGGCGAATATCTCTGAGTATCAGAGTGTCTCGGAGGCGTTGAATCATCACGAGTTATCTGGTTGTGTGAATTACGAGAGTGCTCGGTGATGGATCTGTCGTCAGAAACACGACGGCTGTTTGAAGCATTAGAAATCGACGAATGTTGGCGATGCTCATCAGAATGTCTTGATGTCGAATGAGAGTGATCAACAACAGACCTTTCTTCAGACACGCGACGGTTGTTTGAAGTGTTAAATGTAGAAGAATATTGACGATGCTCATCAGAAATTCTCGATGTCGTGTGAGAATGATCAACAGACCTTTCTTCAGACACGCGACGAATATTGGAAGTATTTGACGAATATTGATGATTTTCATTGTGAGTTTTATGGTGATGTTCCTCGTGCTGACGCTTTGTGTCGGAAATAACTTTTTTATTGTCAACCTCCACTACTTTGTCTACCCTGATGGCTTCTCTGTTTGTCTTCTTCGTGTAGGTATTGTAGTTTCTCTGATTGGTAGTTGTCATTGTTGAAGCATCATCGCCTAAAGAAATATTGGACTCCATGTGCCTGCGTCTGTTGATAGGCTGACCGGCTGGGACCACATCTTTCTTGGTAGGCGAGTAAGAATCATTGCTGGTCGTACGAGTTTCCATTGTACCGCTGCTGATTTTGAGATTATCCTCGTGTCTTTTTATATCAGCACGCTCGCCCCTGACGACTGTGTAATTAGACTTCTGTGAACTTGTTCCATGGAATTCGCCGGTCATCTTTAAATTATCTTCACGTCTAATCACCTCAGTTCTATCAACACGTCTGGGCATGTAATCATCCCTAGGACGGCCCTCGAAGTCACCCTCGGGCTTGAGATTATCCAGATGCTTAATCGGAGATCGGCGTTCTCCAGGTCCAACTGGTCGTCTTTCGGGCCTCTCAAAATCTCCTTCAGGTCTCAAATTATCAGGATGTTTTTTGACTTGGGTACGCTCAGCTACAGTATGGCTGTAATCGTCCCGTCTCTTAATATCTACGAACTCACCCTCGATCTTGAGGTTGTCTTCGCGCTTTCTGATGTCTACACGCTCGATCTTGGTAACTTTCTTGAAATCATCACGGGTACGATGAACGTCAATTTCACCCTCCATTCTTAGATTGTCTTCATGACGTTTAATTTCTACACGGTGGCCATTGGTAACTTTAGTGTAGTCGTCGCGAGTTCTCTGAGTGATTTCCATGTCACCTTCAGGACGAAGGTTGTCCTGGGGTTTCTTAACGAGTGCACGTTCTCCTCGCTTGGGCGTAAACTCATCACGTGGGGTAAAGTGGTGATCCCCTTCTGGATGGAGATTGTCTTCGTGTCGTATTGGAGTTCTACGTTCAGCAGGTCGAACTTTTGTTGGAGTACGTTTCTCAAATTCGCCCTCGGGTTTGAGATTATCAGGATGTCTGATGGGCGTACGACGTTCTCCAGGTCCTACTCGCTCTGGACTTGGTCGTTGGAAGTCACCTTCAGGCTTGAGATTATCCTTGGGTTTCTTCACATCAGCGCGTTCCCCACGTTTGGGAGCTTCTGACTTTGGACGGCGAATGAAATCACCCTCAGGTTTCAAATTGTCCGGATGCTTGATGGGCGAACGCCTCTCTCCTGGACCAACAGGCTTTTTCTCGGGTCTTTCGAAATCTCCTTCCGGCTTAAGATTGTCTTTAGGCTTCTTAACAACTGGTCGTTCAGCAGGCTTGAAGTCATCATGCTCCGGACGCTCGAACTCTCCCTCAGGTTTAAGATTGTCCGAATGTTTGATGGGCGAACGACGTTCCCCAGGACCCACAGGACGTTTTTCAGGTCTTTCAAAGTTTCCTTCAGGCTTCAAATTATCTTTAGGTTTTTTGACAACTGGCCTCTCGGCTGGACGATAGCCTTCATGCTCAGGGCGCTCAAATTCACCCTCTGGTCTGAGATTATCTGGGTGTTTGATGGGACTACGACGCTCGGCAGGACCAACAGGCTTGCAAACTGGTCGCTCGAACTCACCCTCCGGATAAAGGTTATCTTCATGTCTTATGATGTCGGTGCGTTCGCCCCGAGTGACGTTGTAATCATCACGACGACGAATATCGATGAACTCACCCTCAATTTTAAGATTATCTTCTCTGCGCACAACATCCACGCGTTCCATTCTTGTTGTTTTCATGTAATCGTCGCGTGATCTGTAAATATCTATCTCACCTTCCATCTTCAGATTGTCCTGGTGAACGACTATTTCAGAACGTTCTCCACGAGTTGGCTTGTAGTCATCCTTAGGTGAAGCGTCGAAAGTGCCTTCTGGTTTGAGGTTGTCCTTTGGTTTCTTCTGGACCGGTCGTTCAACGCGTTTTGGAGTAAAATCATCTTTCGGACGACCTTCAAAATCGCCTTCCGGATGCAAATTGTCTTCATGGCGAATTGGTTTGCGTCTTTCTCCAGGACCTACTGGTGACTTAACGGGTCTATCGAACTCTCCTTCCGGCCGTAAATTATCTTGAGGCTTCTTAACAACTGGTCTCTCAGCTGGTCTGAATTCTTCATGCTCCGGTCGTTCAAAGTCACCTTCAGGCTTCAGATTATCAGAATGTTTTATTGGCTTCCTACGTTCACCAGGACCTAAAGGTTTCTGAGAAGGTCTCTCAAAGTCACCTTCTGGCTTCAAGTTGTCTTGAGGCTTTTTAACAACAGGTCTTTCAGCGGGTCTAAATTCATCATGTTCAGGCCTCTCAAAGTCACCTTCAGGTTTCAGGTTATCAGCATGCTTGATAGGTGTTCTACGTTCTCCAGGACCCACGGGTTTCTTTTTAGGACGCTCAAAGTCGCCCTCTGGCTTGAGATTATCTTTCGGCTTTTTAACTTCGGCACGATCTCCTTTCCTGGGTGCTTCTTCCTTGGGTCTTTGAGCAAAATCTCCTTCAGGTTTCAAATTATCGGCATGTTTAATCGGCGACCGACGCTCACCAGGCCCAACAGGTTTCTTCTCAGGTCGCTCGAAGTCTCCTTCAGGTTTCAAATTATCCTGGGGCTTTTTAACAACTGGTCTCTCAGCTGGTCTAAACTGTTCATGTTCTGGTCTCTCAAATTCACCTTCAGGTCTCAAGTTGTCAGCATGTTTTATAGGTGAACGTCTTTCACCAGGACCTACAGGTTTCTTTTGAGGACGATCAAATTCTCCTTCAGGCTTGAGATTATCTATAGGCTTCTTAATATCCGCACGATCTCCTTTTTTGGGTGCTTCTTCTTTGGGTCTCCTGACGAAGTCTCCTTCGGGTTTCAGATTATCAGCATGCTTTATAGGAGTTCTTCTTTCACCAGGACCAACTGGTTTGTGTTCTGGTCGCTCGAACTCGCCTTCAGGCCTGAGATTATCTTCTGGACGCTTAATTTCCGGTCTCTCAGCTCTTTTTGGAGTGTAATCATCCTTTGGATGCCCTTCGAATGTTCCTTCGAGTCGCAAATTGTCCTCATGTCTTACTATATCAGCACGTTCACCACGGACGACTTTAAAATCATCTCGGGTTCTTGTATCAGTAAACTCGCCTTCCATCCGCAAGTTATCTTGGTACTTGGTGATTTCAACTCGTTCACGATGTACATAATCAACGTAGTCGTCTCGAGATCTGTATACTTGGAAATCGCCCTCTGGCGCCAAATTGTCTTGAGGTTTCACAACAACTGGTCGCTCAGCCGGTCTGAATTGTTCATGTTCTGGGCGTTCGAACTCGCCCTCAGGTTTCAAATTGTCAGCGTGTTTTATCGGTGAACGTCTTTCTCCAGGACCAACAGGCTTGCAAACTGGTCTTTCAAAATCACCTTCAGGTTTCAAATTATCCTGAGGTTTCTTAACAACTGGCCTTTCAGCCGGTCTAAACTGTTCATGTTCCGGCCTCTCAAATTCACCTTCAGGTTTCAAATTGTCAGCATGCTTAATTGGCGATCTACGTTCACCTGGACCAACCGGTTTCTTAGTAGGTCTCTCAAAATCACCTTCTGGTTTTAAATTATCTTGAGGCTTCTTAACAACTGGCCTTTCAGCTGGTCTGAATTCTTCATGCTCCGGCCTCTCAAATTCACCTTCAGGTTTCAAATTATCAGCATGTTTTATAGGCGATCGTCGTTCTCCAGGACCAATAGGTTTCTTATCAGGACGTTCAAAGTCACCTTCTGGTTTAAGATTATCTTTAGGTCTTTTAATATCTGCTCGTTCACCTTTCTTAGGTGCTTCTTCCTTGGGTCTCCTGACGAAGTCTCCTTCGGGTTTCAGATTATCAGCATGCTTTATAGGAGTTCTTCTTTCACCAGGACCTACCGGTTTGTGTTCTGGTCGCTCGAACTCGCCTTCCGGCCTAAGATTATCTTCTGGACGCTTAATTTCCGGTCTTTCAGCTCTTTTTGGAGTGTAGTCATCCTTGGGACGACCTTCGAATGCTCCCTCGGTTCGCAAATTGTCCTCATGTCTTATAATATCAGCACGTTCTCCACGGACCACTTTGAAATCATCTCGAGTTCTCGTGTCAGTAAACTCTCCTTCCATCCGCAGATTATCTTCGTACTTAGTAATCTCTACACGTTCACGATGAACAAAGCCTACATAATCATCTCGAGATCTGTAAGTCTGCATATCACCTTCGGGCATTAAATTGTCTTGAGGTCTTATGACAATTGGTCTTTCAGCCGGTCTAAACTGTTCATGTTCTGGACGTTCAAATTCACCCTCTGGTTTCAAATTGTCAGCATGCTTAATTGGCGATCTACGTTCACCTGGACCAACAGGTTTCTTGGTTGGCCTTTCAAAATCACCTTCTGGCTTCAAGTTATCTTGAGGCTTTTTAGCAATTGGTCTTTCAGCTGGTCTGAATTCTTCGTGCTCGGGTCTTTCAAATTCACCCTCAGGCTTCAAATTGTCAGCATGTTTTATTGGCGTTCTACGTTCACCGGGTCCTACAGGTTTCTTCGTCGGTCTTTCGAAATCTCCTTCAGGCTTCAAGTTATCCTGAGGTTTCTTGACAACCGGTCTCTCAGCTGGTATAAACTGTTCATGTTCTGGTTTTTCGAATTCACCCTCTGGTTTCAAATTGTCAGCATGCTTAATCGGTGATCTACGTTCACCTGGACCAACAGGCTCCTTTGTTGGTCTCTCAAAATCACCTTCTGGTCGTAAATTATCTTGAGGCTTCTTAACAACTGGTCTCTCAGCTGGTCTGAATTTTTCATGCTCTGGCCTCTCAAATTCGCCTTCAGGCTTCAAATTATCAGCATGTTTTATTGGCGTTCGACGTTCACCGGGTCCTACAGGTTTTTTCGTCGGTCTTTCGAAATCACCTTCTGGTTTCAAGTTATCCTGAGGTTTCTTAACAACCGGTCTCTCAGCTGGTCTAAACTGTTCATGTTCTGGTCTTTCAAATTCGCCTTCAGGCTTCAAATTGTCAGCATGTTTTATTGGCGAACGTCGTTCTCCAGGACCAATAGGTTTCTTATCAGGACGTTCAAAGTCACCTTCTGGTTTAAGATTATCTTTAGGTCTTTTAATATCTGCTCGCTCACCTTTCTTAGGCGCTTCCTCTTTGGGTCTCCTGACGAAGTCTCCTTCGGGTTTCAGATTATCAGCATGCTTTATAGGAGTTCTTCTTTCACCAGGACCCACCGGTTTGTGTTCTGGTCGTTCGAACTCGCCTTCAGGCTTGAGATTATCTTCTGGACGCTTAATTTCCGGTCTTTCAGCTCTTTTTGGAGTGTAGTCATCCTTGGGACGTCCTTCGAATGGTCCCTCGGGTCGCAAATTGTCCTCATGTCTTATAATATCGGCACGCTCACCACGGACAACTTTAAAATCATCTCGAGTTCTCGTGTCAGTAAACTCTCCTTCCATCCGCAGATTATCTTCGTACTTAGTAATCTCTACACGTTCACGATGAACAAAGCCTACATAATCATCTCGAGATCTATAAGTCTGCATATCGCCTTCGGGCATTAAATTGTCTTGAGGTCTTATAACAATTGGTCTTTCAGCCGGTCTGAACTGTTCATGCTCTGGGCGTTCGAACTCGCCCTCTGGTTTCAAATTGTCTGCATGCTTAATTGGCGATCTACGTTCACCTGGGCCAACAGGTTTCTTGGTTGGCCTTTCAAAATCACCTTCTGGCTTCAAGTTATCTTGAGGCTTTTTAGCAATAGGTCTTTCAGCTGGTCTGAATTCTTCATGCTCTGGTCTTTCAAACTCTCCCTCCGGTCTAAGATTGTCGGCATGCTTAATTGGCGATCTTCGTTCACCTGGACCAACCGGTTTCTTAGTAGGTCTGTCAAAATCACCTTCTGGTTTTAAATTATCTTGAGGCTTTTTAACAACTGGCCTTTCAGCTGGTCTGAATGCTTCATGCTCCGGTCTCTCAAATTCACCTTCAGGTTTCAAATTATCAGCATGTTTTATAGGTGATCGTCGTTCTCCAGGACCAATAGGTTTCTTATCGAGACGTTCAAAGTCACCTTCTGGCTTAAGATTATCTTTAGGTCTTTTAATATCTGCTCGTTCACCTTTCTTAGGTGCTTCTTCCTTAGGCCTCCTGACGAAATCTCCTTCGGGTTTTAAATTATCAGCATGCTTAATAGGAGTTCTTCTTTCACCAGGACCCACCGGTTTGTGTTCTGGTCGCTCGAACTCGCCTTCCGGCCTGAGATTATCTTCTGGACGCTTAATTTCCGGTCTTTCAGCTCTTTTTGGAGTGTAGTCATCCTTGGGACGACCTTCAAATGGTCCCTCGGGTCGCAAATTGTCTTCATGTCTTATAATATCAGCACGTTCACCACGGACAACTTTAAAATCATCTCGAGTTCTCGTGTCAGTGAACTCTCCTTCCATCCGTAGATTATCTTCATATTTAGTAATCTCAACACGCTCACGATGAACAAAGTCTACATAATCATCTCGAGATCTGTAAGTCTGTATATCGCCTTCGGGCATCAAATTGTCCTGAGGTCTTATAACAAGTGGTCTTTCTGCAGGTCTAAATTGTTCATGCTCCGGCCTTTCAAAGTCACCTTCAGGTTTTAAATTATCCGAATGTCTGATCGGCGTTCTTCTTTCGGCAGGTCTAAAAGGCTGACGTTCTCGATCTGGAAAGTCTCCCTCGGGGAATAAATTATCTGGATGTCTGACAATAGGTGCTCTTTCACCCGGTCCATAAAGCTCTTGCTCTGGATACTCAACATCGCCTTCCGGTTTTAAATTATCTTCATGCCTAATAGGCTTGCGTCTCTCTCCCGGTGAATATTTGTCTTTCGGTCTGTCAGCAAACTTTCCTTCAGGTTTCAAATTATCCTGGGGCTTCTTCACAATTGGTCTTTCAGCCGGCCTGAATTCTTCATGCTCAGGTCTCTCGAAATCACCCTCTGGCTTCAAATTATCCTCATGCTTAATTGGCGTTCTTCTCTCAGCAGGACGGAAAGGCTGACGTTCTCGATCCGGAAACTCTCCTTCTGGAAATAGATTGTCTGGATGTCTGACAATAGGCGCTCTTTCACCTGGACCATAAAGATCTTGCTCTGGATACTCAACATCGCCTTCTGGTTTCAAATTATCTTTATGCTTAATCGGAGTTCTTTTTTCACTGAGCTTATACGGTTGTCTTTCGCGATCTGGGAACTCTCCTTCGGGGAATAAATTGTCTGGATGTCTGACAATAGGAGCACGATTACCAGGAGCATATGGAGTTTGATCCGGTCTCTCAAAATCTCCCTCAGGATGCAAATTATCCGGATGCTTTATCGGCTGACGACGTTCTCCAGGTGTGTATTTGTCTTTAGGCTTCCCTTCAAATGGTCCTTCAGGCTTCAAATTATCTTTTGGCTTTTTGACATCAGCTCTTTCGCCTCTTGTCGGCTTGTAATCATCCTTGGGCCGTCCTTCGAAGGGTCCTTCGGGTCTTAAATTGTCGTGAGGACGTATTGCGTCAGGACGTTCTATTCTTTTCGGTGAGTAATCATCCTTTGGACGCCCTTCGAAAGGACCTTCAGGCCGTAAATTGTCCTCTCTCCTCACGACAACTGTACTTTTGTAGTCGGTCTTATCAAAGTTGCGATACTCTTCGTGTGTTGTTGTAACGTTTTCTATGTCAGTATGACTGTAGAAACGATCTGTTTGATCTACCGAAGGACGACGGTAAGTCGGACGATCTATCTCACGAATGTCATGTGTATGGAAGTCATTCTTTGTGTGAGAGGTTCCCTGTTAAGTTATAAAACACCCAGAATTATTAAGTGTGTTGTTTTAAACTGATCGATACTATTATATTTAGAGAAAAATAGGTAAATATTTACAAGTGGGGTCAACCATTTTAATTTTCATTTTTTTAAACGAAATTTCTATTTGATTTTTTTGATATATTTTTTTTTTGAAAAATACATAAAAAAAATGAACAATTTGAAAAAAAAAAAAAAAAAAAAAAGTTGACTATCACAATTTTAACAAATTTTCAAAAAAATTTATAAATTTTTTTTTAAAGTTGTAATATTCAACTTTTTTTTTTTAATTGTTTGCTTTTTTATGTACTTTTTAAAAAAAATATATCAGAAACATCAAAAAAAGATAAAATAGAAATTTTATCCAAAAACATGAGAGCCAAAATTTTTTCCAACTTTTGAAAGCAAAAAAGCTATCGAAATCTTCATTTTTTTCTTTCAAGACATTTGTTATCATAAATCCGCGGTAAAAACAAGCAGAATAAAAAAGAATAAAAAAATATTAATTTTTAATCTAGTTATGGCCCAAAATGGATTTGACCCCACTTGTAAATAATTACTAAAAAATATTCGACAGTGTAATTTACACTGAGAAAAAAAAAATACTTTTATTAAGAAAATTTTCTTGATACAAGAATTCATGTTCTTGAAAATTTTTAATACATTCTTAGCTCAAGAACTTGTTAAATTGATTGAAATAATTTTTACTTAATTTAAATAAAGCTATTTTCTTGTTTATCTATTATCCAAAGATACATATTGATGCTCTTCTCGTCAAAAATTAATAATTAATGATAAAAGAATATATATTTGATCGTCAGCGAATTTCTTGAACCAAGAAATTGTTAATTGAGTCAAAGTATTTTTTTTTCTCAGTGAAATTATCATTTTGTTAAAATAAGTTACCGTGAATTCTCCCTCTCCGACGGTGAGATTATCCACTCGTCTAAATATTTCAGTTCGCTCAACACTACGATGATCAATGTACTCTGATCTTGAAGTTGTTTCATCAGTAAAATCACCCTCTATTTTAGTGAAAGTATTACGACGAACTGGGGTTGGACGTTCGCCAGGTTTTCCAGTGAAAACTAAGTCCGTTGTCGTGACACCTAGTAAAATGATTTATTTTTAATTAAAATACATTATATCGATTAGTAAATGTCATTAATCTTAAACTTAAATCCTAATATATTAAATGAACATAAATAATTACTTTCGAAATCTCCTCCAGGTCTCAAATTATCCTGAGGTCGTCGTACAGGTGCCCTTTCTCCATGTGTGGGCGCTTCTTCTTTGGGTTTTCCAAAAAATTCGCCCTCGGGCTTGAGGTTATCCTGTGGCTTTTTAACTGGTGCCCTTTCACCTCGAGTTGCAACATAATCCGTTCGACGCTCACCGGTAAATTCGCCCTCAACATGAAGGTGATCTTCGTGATGATATGTTACCTGACGGTCAACATGTTTCTCGTCAAATTCCTGCCTGTACAATGACACTGACTGTATTGGCTCATGAGAAATATCTAAATGGTCTTCTGGCAGATTGTGTGGGCAGCGATGTCGGCTGAAATAAAAGGTAATGAGATAAAATACTTTATTTATTTTTCAAATGAATAAATGATAAATTAGTTTTATTTAATTGAAGGTAAATATTTTTTAGATGGAGAAAATAAAAGTAAGAATAAACAGGTTTTTCATCATAACACGAGATAAGATTTTAAATCGACATGACTTTCCCTTGAGAGTTGATGAGAGCTAATACCATTTATGGTATTAGTGATCGATGTTGCTCGCGGCACATTAAATTAAATAGTAGGACACATCAATGTGTCGACAACTTATTGGAATTCATGTATCAAGAATTTGTCAGTCTATTTATGAAAGCTGTTGTGAAGAAAAAAAAAAAAAACACATTTTATTTTCCATTTTTGCAATGAAACTTTAGACATTGGGAAAATCTGTTCTACGTGATACATATTAAATCGATATATTCGATGGAATAAATACTAATAAGGTAAGCAAATGCTCCGTGTGTATAAAAAAAACCACGACCTTATTAAATCTTAAAACATAAATAACTGATGAAGAGATTAACACAGAAGGCCAAAGATATTCAAACAAAATTAGTAAATGTATTTATTCTAGTTTCAGAGGAAAAAAAAACACTGACAACATAAGATTGCCATGAAAAATTAAATATGAACGATTGAAACGCGTAGGTAGCTGAAGATTCTAATTAGGAATAAACAGAGGAGGTAGCCACAATGATTAAATTCTATAAATCATCGGTGAAGGCATCAGTGGCCCACATACCATTAGTCATCGAGCTTAAAAATGTGAGTAAATAAAACGGTATAATACTAACCCACAGGTACATAATTCGCAGATACATTGCTCTTTCAGGGGAATTTCCTTGAGTACATTAATAGAACCTGGTTTTTGAGGTTTGTCGCCGTCAAGAGAATCAGGAGATTGATCTCTGCGTTGTGGTCTTTTTTCCGGGCTCTTATGCTTTTCTGGAGAATCAGATCGACTGGGTTTCCCGGCAGCTGGTCGAAATTTTTCGACAGGAGAGTCAGGAGATTGATCTCTGCGTTGAGGTCTTTTTTCCGGGCTCTTCTGCTTTTCTGGAGAATCAGATCGACTGGGTTTCCCGGCAGCTGGTCGAGATTTTTCGACAATTGGCTTCTCTTCAGGCTTTCGGCTGGGTTTTCCCGCTGTTGGAGTTGCCTTTTCAGTTGTTGGTTTGTCATCAGGCTTACGACTAGGCTTACCAGCTGCTGGTGTTGGTTTTCCAGGTGTCACGTGGTTTTCTCGCGGTTTTTCTGGTGACCGTGGTCTTGCTTCCGATAAGCTGTTCGATAAAAATAAATTATTCAAATTATTTATAACTCTAAATATTTTAATAATTTTTTTAACTAATACTAACTTGTAATTTTTAATTAAAAAAAAAAAATTATTTAAAAAATGAATAATTCTTACCGTCGAGTTTCTTCAGGTTGACGAGACCGGCTTGGTTTGCCTGCAGCAGGAATTGATTTGGGTTTATCGTCTTCTCTAAGCCCGGGTATTCCTCGTGGGTATCCTGGTTTTTCCGGCGCCGTTTTGCTCGTCGGTAAATTCCCAGGTCTTTTCGTAATTTCAGTTCTCTCATACTGAGTGTCATCGACATCTTGCGATACCATACTAGTCACCTGGTTCTCGATGATAAATTCCTTCGTTGACGTCTCCGAGACATCTCTCTAAAATTAATAACCACACAAGACAAATAAACAAAAATTATCTCAAACCCTCATATAATTAAGCTTACAAGCACAAGTAGTAAACTACAATTGTCAAATTGTCATTTTATTCAATGAGTTAAATTACAAAGCAGACATCAAGTGCCAACAGGCGCCACATTAATTTAACGTGCCAGTCTAATTATAATCTATATAAAAGAGTTCGATGCTCTTAGTTGCTAAAGAAGTTACTCAGACTGGCACAAGGCAGTCTACCGTGCTCACTTGCTAGAAAAAAAAAAATGTAAATGTATATATACAGCAGTGCTAAACAATAATTACGCTCATATGTTACCTTGACCGCTAAAATTAACGCGTTGTATTTCGGATCAGATTTCTAATGTAATCGATTAAGCATTGATTACTTCATCATTGGTTGAAGTTAATGAGTTGAGCTAATCCATTCATCTAGGTTTAATTCAACCAGACTATCCGTTTGAAAATCGTTATCATAAACCGCATCACTTCTGTATTACTCAGTCTCATCAACATCGACCATCAATTACACTCTATTCTGTGTTAACATGCTACACCTGACCTGCTCACAAGCCACAACACATACGACAGGTGTCCATGACAAGTTTATATTCTATAGTCTTGATTATGGATTTTTAAAAATAACAATAAAACTTATAACAATGCCAATGAAATTGACATTGACAAATATTATAACATTCCTCTTTTTATTACACTAACATTGAAGCCTTTGTTTCACTTTCATATTACTTTTTATACATAGCATAGATAATTACTTTTGTAATAAAAAAAACAACATTTTATAATCTCAATGCTGTAATCTAACGATTACGTATCATAGATATGAACATTGCTTTTAGATAATTATTTACTAAATTATTCAACGTCTTTTTAAAATAATTGTAAATTATTTTAATAATAACAACAAAGTTTAAGACGAATTTATTTTTAAGTGGCAATAATAATGATAAGAGGCTCTGTAATAATTGAACTTGACATCAGTGACTAGTCGCAGAATTAATTTAAATAAAAAATTTTATTACCATTCGTCATAAACTCGTTTTAAATATGGGCATTAAAATATTTATTTGAATTACATAAAAAGCTCAGAATCTAACTAAACACATATCTGTGTCTTTATTTGTCTGTATTCATATAAACCGTCAACGAAATCAATTTGTCGCACAATCAATGAAATAGCAGCACGCGATGATATCATGCTATTAAATGTGGTATATCACGAAAGCTAAATTGATGTTTTTTTATACGGCTTTAGAAAATTTATATTACTGTCACACACCAAAAAATTTTTAAAATTACCAATTATTACTTCAATTAAATTTTAAAAGTTTAATTTTAAACGGTGATCTATGTTCTTTAATTAGTGTATATAGCGTATGTAATAATGACTTAGAAAATCGATAAAAACAATTGCCATTACTATTTTTTCAATAAATAAAAACCTAAACGTTTTATATTTAATTTTTTAATTATTAAATATTAAAGTAATGGATAATTTATGTCTCATATATTTTTATAAAATAAGTAATCTTATTTGTACTTGAATACAGCAGATAAGAATTTAAAATTCAGCTGGGTGTCAGATCATTGATCATAACATTATGATGTAACGCAGTATAACGTCAGAATAATAGGCATTATGCGATTGAAATCTACAACTTCCGCGAGATTATACTATTCTCTTTTATTCTTTATTTATTCTTTTTATTTTTTATTTATACAACTACACACCTCGCGAAGGCAAAATGCGTTAGCTCAGATTTATTTTTAACTCATGAAACTTACTTTACTTCCACACATAAACATATACTCATAAAAATAAATTTATGAGTATGAGACTTACGGCGAATCCTTGAAAGCATGAAAGAGTGAAAGTCTTTAGTTATTTTATTTTATACTGCTATCTTCTTAAATACCCGTTTCACTTACATTAGCAAGAAAGTCTGAAAGTACTCAAGAGAATTTGAATTTGTTTATATATCCAACCGCTGGCTTAAACGCACCGTCAATCATAAATCAAACTAAAAGTTATTCCACTTACCACGTCTCGGGTGTCCTTAAACTCGCTGATGTAATTTTCCTGCACAACATCAGTGAAGCTGGAAGATTTTTCAACAATAAACGTCTCATTGAGTATAGTTGTGTCGATTAAATTGTCTCTAATATTTCGCATAGTAGAGTCGGACGGAATAGGCTGGATTCTGTCTTCTCTATCTGTAGGCTTTCGTGGTTTGTCCCTAGAATCAACTGTCGATTTTTTTTCAGTAGGTTTCGTTTTATCAATCGGCTTTTTGGGTTCCTGCGGCTTTTCATAAGTAAAAGATCCATCCCAAGTCGATGACCCGGGTTTAGTCGGACGTGCTGAGCGGTCTGTAGGACTTGCCGGCTTTTCAGGACTCTCTGGTCTGTTTTTAAGACTCTCTGGTTTTTTACCAGGACCCAAAGGCTTTCGTGAATCAGAAACTTCGTGGGTGACTGTAGTAGAGAAATCTGTAGAGTCGCGTGACACTGAATTAACGGAGCTAGATTTTTCAACGTTTATGTATTGAGTTGTGCTCTTAATGTCTTGTGAAACGTCAACGACGCTGGTTTTTAAATCAGTGATAGACACGTAATCATCTGTATGTGAAACATCCTTGGGTTTTCTGTCCACTGGAAGCTGAGAGTCAGTTGGTTTTTTGTCAATCGGTTTCTTGGGTTCTTGCGGCTTTTCATAAGTGAAATGTCCATCCCAAGACGAAGATCCGAGTTTCGGTTGTGCTGAGCGATCTGTAGGACTTCTCGGTCTTTCAGGACTCTGTGGTCTATTTTTAAAATTCTCCGGTTTTTTTCCAGGACCCAAAGGTTTTCGTGAATCAGAAACCTCGTGGGTAATTGTAGTAGAGAAATCTGTAGAGTCACGTGTCACCGAATCAATGGAAGTAGATTTTTCAATGTTGATAAACTGAGTTGTGTTTTTTATGTCATGAGAAACGTCAATATTACTGCTCAAGTTAGTGATTGATGCGTAATCATCTTTCGAAGTAGTTTTTGGTTTTTTATCCACTGAAAGTCGCGAATCAGTTGGTTTTTTGTCAATTGGCTTTTTAGGTTCCTGCGGCTTTTCATAAGTGAAATGTCCATCCCAAGACGAAGATCCGAGTTTTGGTTGTGCTGAGCGATCTGTAGGACTTCTCGGTCTTTCAGGGCTCTCTGGTCTATTTTTAAAATTCTCTGGTTTTTTGCCAGGACCCAAAGGCTTTCGTGAATCAGAAACCTCATGGGTAACTGTAGTAGAAAAATCTGTAGAGTCGTGTGTCACTGAATCAATGGAAGTTGATTTTTCAATGTTGATAAACTGAGTTGTGTTTTTGATGTCATGAGAAACGTCAACATTACTGCTCAAGTTAGTAATTGATACGTAATCATCCTTCGAAGTAGTTTTTGGTTTTTTATCCACTGGAAGTCGTGAATCAGTTGGACTTTTATCAATTGGCTTTTTAGGTTCCTGCGGCTTTTCATAAGTGAAATGTCCATCCCAAGTCGATGACCCGGGTTTAGTAGGACGTACTGAGCGATCTGTAGGACTCACTGATTTTTCAGGACTTTCTGGTCTATTTTTAAGACTCTCTGGTTTTTTTCCAGGACCCAAAGGCTTTCCTGCATCTGTTACTTCATGTGTGATTGTGTTTGAGAAATTAGAAGAATCAAACGTCTTGGAGTCAACAGTGCTATAGTTTTCAATATTAATATACTGAGTTGTGCTTTTAATATCTTGAGAAACATCGAGATCACTTTTAAATTCAGTGGATACATAATCACGGGAAATATCCTTGGGTGTTTTATCAACATTAATTTTTGTACTTACTTTTTTATCAATTTGTTTTTTAGGCTCCGGAGTTTTTTCATACGTAAACGATCCATCCCAAGTTGAAGATCCCGGTTTTGATGGACGAGCTGCCCGATCTGTTGGGCTCATCGACTTCTCAGGACTCTCTGGTCTCCTAACTGGACCCGCAGGCTTTCGCGAATCAGAAACCTCATGAGTAATTGTATTTGAAAAATTAGAAGAGTCATAAGTCTTTGAGTCAGTACTGGATTTTTCGATGTTAATGAACTCAGTAACATTTTTAATATCTTCAGATACATCAACGTTAGTTACAAACTGCTTATCAGTACGTGAAGTGTCCTTGGAATCCTTATCTACCGGAAGTTTAGCATCGCTTGTTTTCTTATCAATCGGTTTCTTGGATTCCTGAGGCTTTTCATAAGTAAAAGATCCGTCCCACGTAGAAGATCCAGGCTTTGATGGACGACCTGAGCGATCTGCCGGCCCTGATTTTTCAGGACTCTGCGGTCTTTTGCTGTGAATGTTCTTCGAGTCAGTTGTCCTCGAATCAGCCGTATCAGAGACAGAAGTCACAGTAATGTACTTCGTTGTACTTTTAATGTCATCCGTCATATCAACGTTAACATTAGACACATAGCGATCTTCAGATGTGTCTCTTGTTTTATCAACCATAATTTTGCTGGTAACTTTCTTATCACCCGGCTTTTTTGTGTCAACAGGTTGTTCATAAGTAAAGGAGCCGTCCCACGTGGAGGATCCAGGTTTTGACGGTCTGCTTGCATGATCTTCAGGGTACGGAGATTTTTTACCCTGTAGTGATTCCGTAGTCTCTCCGGTAGACTCAACGCTGTATTGAGTAGTACGCGTTGGTTTACCATCAACAATAATTATCGTCTCAACCGCTGTGGAAGCTAAATCAATATTCGAGGAATCCGAGTAGCTTTCATGGACGCGGGATTGTTCAAAAATAAACCTCTCTGAAGAACTTACTTCTGACAAATTGGAGTCATGCTCTCGGAGGTCCAGCGTAGTGTCGCTGACTCTGGGCTTTCTGGTAATAGGAACCGGGTCCGGACGCTTGAAAGTTCCGTCCCACGTCGACGAACCAGGTTTTAAGGCAGCCCTGTCTGTTGTCTCTGGCGACGAGGGTCGCTTATCTCTCGTGACATCTTTCTGGTCCCACCCACCAGAGTCTCGAGTGACAGAAGTTAAACTGGACTCGCGAACGTCCGAGAAACTAGTTTGGCTTGACGAAGTCTCGACCACGTACGAAGTTGTCGATATATCAGCTTCATTGATAGTGTAATCGTCAGTAACATCTCGTATTTCAACGTCTGTTCTCTGTCCACGATTTGTCGGTCTTACCGCGTCAGTACGAGTCGTTTTGGTCGGCGGCTTTTCGTATAAAAATTTACCATCCCAAGCAGATTGGCCTACCTTGTTGTAAGCCTGCGACTTATCTGGGGTTTGTGAGCGCCTGGGAGTACTGGAGCCTCTTGGAATGGGGGATTCTTCTTCTGGAATAGCTGTGGACACCGAGGTTACTTTTTCAATACGTTTCCCATCGCTCGCGTCCTTGTACTCTACTATGTAGGAGGACGAGGTCACGGAGGACTCGACTGCACTATCGGAAATATCTCTGACTTCAACCGTGTCTCTGACCTTATCAGATATTCTCACGACCGATGGCTCAGTCGTTTTACTACTGTCAATAACAAAACTTCCATCCCACGAAGAGTCGCCAGGTCGTGAATTTTTGCTGTGATAATTACCGTCAAAAGAGTCTGTCTCGATGCTTTTTCTAACGTCCGAACTACTGTGGGAAGTTATTACTTCAGAAATGTGGCTGCTGGAAGTACTTTCGTGTATTTGAGATTCTCGAATTTCAGAGCTAGATGTTACGTCACCAGAAATAAATTTTGTTACCTTTTCAGAGCGGGAACTGGGAACCGGCGTTGATAATATTGTTTGAGAATTAGTTCCTAATTTTTCTGGTTTTTCATACACAAATTTACCGTCCCAAGATGACTCTCCGGGTCTCAACGAAGGCACACATTTAGAAGACTTTCTATTGCTGCTGTTTTTAATAAATGTATGTTGAGATTTTCCCGAGGGTTCTACCAGACTCTCACTCAAGACATTTTTCTCACGACTTGCCACGACATTTCCATCAACATTTTTACTCTGAAATGACTCTTGAACTTTGTTAGTGTCGGTATAAATTTTTCCGTCAACTTCGCGAGCTTCTGAGACAAGTTTGCTCGATTGCTGGCTTTCTGAGGACCGGCTGTTTGTTACACCCTCGGCCGTGGTCTCGTGAAATTGACTGGAGGCTTCTTCAACATGAGAAGATGTGCTGTACAAACTAGAAGACACTACGTGGCTATCGGAGAGCTCCAAATTATCGGATTGTGAAATATTTTTGTTACCATCAAGAGATCTAGCTTCCTGAAGAATCTGCGTCTGTTCGCCCCGTATAAAATCATCCGAAGCTTTTCCACCTTTTGTTGTCATTTGTCTGCTCGTCCTGGGTGGACTTTCAATGACCTTGATGATATTGCCCTTGGAATCCATAATAACTTCTCGGCTCCCACTAATTGTCTCAACCACATTGCTCTGACTTTTAGTTTCTACACTGGATCTGGCCTCTTCGACTACACGGGATGATGTCACCACTGTAGATGACGATGATGTGATTTCTTCAGTGGTACCGACGTCCATTGTTGACGTAGATGACGAAGATATTACTCCATTCCCACTGTTCTTCTTCTTCTTAACCGCACCTGCACTGTTTTTTTTACTCAAAACCATCGCGCTTATTTCGCAACTTATTAAAATTATTCACTTGGAAAAAAGTTCACTTGTTATCTATCCTATTGAATATTAATAATTTATTGTCTCATTAACATATCACCTGTCGCTTTTTAAATATTTAACAATTATTTCGCGTTTTATAATTTTTAATTTAATAATTTAAGTTTTAATTACATTAATAATGTCTTTTTATTTTTCTTTACAGAAAATTTGAATCACAGTGGTTTAGAAAAATTTATAAACTCGATTTTTTTATAAAGTTGTCGGTGATTCGCCTCACCATTTGGATCGGCAACTACTGACTGGAACCGGCGGAACGCGTGAGTCTTTTCTCTCTTCTTAATTCCCCTCTCTTTATGTTAAGTTAACGCCTATACTACGGTACACATAACACAACTTTAAAAATGTAAGATGTAGATGTGTAAGCTTTCTGAGCTGAGGTACTAATGCAGACTGATATATATATATAATAATATATAAGTTAAACTAAGACAAATACATATACAAATACCTATAAGTATCAACGTGACCACGATCATATCATTCCCTCTCTTCCACATATGCTCTACGTGTCTATCTACTTATTCGAGAATCCGCGTGGGTTGTTTTACTTGTATTGTTACTGGTTTTATGTATATGTGTTTGTATTTGTACTTTTATTATAGGTGTATTGTATTCTTGGGACGAGTGATTATAAAAAGTGGGAATTAAAACTCATGCATTGATGACATACGTATTGGTATTGGAATCCACAAGTTAGCCGTGGTTTATTTATTACTTTTTTGGCATTTATGTCTGACAAACTTTCAATGATTCATCATTATTTATATCATATACAAAACATATTTATAATAAATAATTTTTTTTTTCTAGTTCATGGATGAAAAATTTTAAATGACTGGCATTTGGAAATATATGTAGATAAAAATAAGTGGAAACAGACATCTGATTGTAAGTGAAAAATTCTTTACTGTAAGTAGAAAAAAAAGTTTAGTTATTTTTTTTATATCAAGTAAATAACTTGGCTTCTTAAAGTCAAGTGGTAAGAAAAAAACAATAATAATAATTTATCGATAATAAAAATATTTTTAATTGAGACTGATAAAATTTTTAAATTTAAAGTCTCATTATACGTGATAAGATTTATATGTCAATGGAAATAACAAACTAAAATAACTTGCTCAGTTTACAGATTATATATAAACATATTTTTTTCAGTTAATTTTCTTAAATGATGAAGCAATTAGCTTATAGTCCTGAGGAAAAATTTAAATAACTTATGATAAACAAATTAAGCCAGCAAACAAATAAATATAAAGTAATTATAATTATAAAATGACAACAGTAAATATAATTAAAAGGAAGAAGGGGTATACGGTTCAATGAGACACAAACGGAGTAATAAAATGAGCGATGACGTAATTAACTTAAAATACAAGTAAAGAAACTCACCTAACACGGTATTTTATATTTGTTTTCATTTACCAAACTATTTTTATTCATTATTCATTTATTTTATATTTTTTTTTTTTTGGTTTTTTTTTTCTTTTTACTTGAACTCCTTTCATTCTCGTCCCGTTCATTCCTATTTCGGAGCAGCTTCGCGGTATACGAGTAAGAAGAAAAAGATTTTAAGTGGGTCACGGAAAAGCGGACATGCAGGGTGAGTCGCTGGTTGCTGGTATTATTTTACAACTTTTAAAAATTAGAGAATTATTTAAAAAATATAGACATAAACTATTGATAAAAAGTAAGAAACACGAACGGTGCGAGTAAGTGAATTATTTAGGTATTTGTAACAGGCAATAAAGATAAGTCAGTCAATAATTTTAATGTCGTGTAGATAATATTTGACAGATAATGATAAAGCTTAACATTGTACTACAAATATTATAGAGAATAGTATTAATCATCGCACATTTCATATTAACATCTTAATAAGTGTTTAATAATTCAAATGTTCTTAGGTCCTTAGAAATTTAATTGGAACATTAAGAGACATTTGACATGCGAAAATGCCGTAAACGTTGCGGTATTATCTGTGTCCTCGGGCTATTTGCCAACTCACATGCTTACAGATATACACAACACATATTTAAACTCGTTGAACTTTTATAAAAGTTTTTAAAAAAAATTTTTAACCATTCTTAAAATGTTTGAACGCTTAAAGACCAACTGTTTTAATAAAAACAAAGTAATTATCTATATTATTATTTTTTTTTAATGATATACAATCAATTAAGAAACTTTTACAAGTTTCTACCTTAACAAGCTGTAATTAAATTTATTTACTCTGTACGTCTTTATGCGAATCGCATATTAATTTGTTACTATAAAAATGTATTAATTATTTCTTCTTAATTGGTAATTAACAACTTATAATTATTTCATTTTCAGTAACGTATCAAATGTGCATTCCAACAATTATTTAATTCGCATGAAATTATGGATATTTTTTTGTAAAAAGTACATCAAACATTATCGATCATGACACGCTAATCTAACCATCGTTTTTTTTACAGCTATGAAGCATATATTTATATACAATGTCGTGACAAGAAGACTAAATGCTAAGGCTCTGTACTCGTTAAAGTGTACACGACTAGATGGACAGTATAAACAAGTAGTACGTGTCTTGTTGACGTTGTGCAACCTGCAATTTAAGACCAGAGACTCTCACTCACGCGTGATGCTTCAAAATACTCTAATTTATTCCATGCATCTATCAATTTAATGGGTAATATGTCTAATTAGACAATAAAATTGACATTTCCGCGTGAAATTACAATTATAGAAAAAAAAAAATAATATACATATATAATTACTTGTCAAAAGTAATTACTAAAGTGAGGTCTTCAATTAAATAATTATTATAACAAGAAGTAAAAAATTGAATGAAAATTAAATTAGCCGACTTCTAAGAATTTTTTGAATTTTTTTTTATTGAAAAATAATTTTTAAAAAATTAAAACAAAAATTTTCACATGTAGAAAATTTTAAAAATTATCCGTGGAATTTTTTAAGAATAGTTTTTTAGTTCTAATTGTTATTAAAAAAAAAATCAAAAATTTTTGAGTGTCGGCTAACTTAATTTTCATAAAAATTGAATGGTTGTTTGTACGAGAGTTGTAGATATATGAGTTTTTTTTCTGGTTTATTCTCGATCGAATCTCAGACTCCGCGGTCAAAAGAAAGCGTCATCGTTTCAGTTATCCGCGTAGGTGGAGAACCTACACTTAGATCCGCCTTATTTGGTGAATGCTCCGAGGCTCGTGGGCGACAAACCTGAAGTAGTCGATCCAGTCATTCGTATTTTGTATTTACAGTACCAGGAAAACATTGACAATGCATTCACACATCATACATAACACTTTTTAGTATTATTAATATATATTACCATAAAAAAATTTTAATTCTAAACACTTTAGGCAATTCAATTAATTTTTTATTTTAACTGTTAATGTGCAGTAAATATATATTTAAGTTTAATAATAAATAACATTTAAATTTATTATTTATTATTGAAATTTTTTAACTGATGACTTTAATACTACAGGAAGTCATTAAAGTAAGTAGGCGGACATTTTAAAGGGCCAAACCCACGCAAATAATATAAAGGCTAACAATTTCTGCAATTTATTTCAATTTTCAATGGCTTTCAAAATTATTTTTAACATTTAATATTTCATACTTTTAGTCTATTGAAAAGTTGTAATTTAATAAGTTATTTAATTGATAAATTATTGTTATTTTATTTTCAAGGAGTGGTCATGAATTAAAATAGTGGTTGAGTTTCAGCACTCGATACAAGTATTGCAAGAGGATGAATGCAATAAGGAGTGATCGAGAGTTATTGGTTTGCCTTGATGTAAATCCGAGCCGCCGAAAAGGGATTTATCGACGTAATATAAGTCCTGGAATCAATGACAGAGTAACATTGCCGTTTTATGGGAATTGAGCGCGAGTACGTGCGACGAAATACATAAAACCATCAATCTTGCACCACTCACATTATCATCTTTCTTTTTTTCGCTTTTTCCAAATCAAGTTAACTTGATTCTCGTTTTATTTAATGAGAAAAATGAAAGCGAATTATTTACAATTGGCAATTCATCAGTAAACTGACCTCGTAATTTTTTAATCTATAAATGTAAGTCTGATGTTGATTAATTCAATGAATTTTAATTAGTACTTATCTCATTACTGGTCATTAGTTAAATATTTTGAATGAACATCATCGCTCAATCTATTACATAAATAAATCGTAAATATTTTAGAATGACATAATAATAAAGTGTAAATTTAGAAATTAAGAATATTATAAATTTTTTTAAATATTTAAAGTATAAAATTTTTATTGTCATAAATTTTGAATTAATTTTAATTGTAACACTGAACATTAAATATTCTTAAATTTAAAATTTTCAAATAATTAGCTCAATAATTTAGAAGCAAAATAATTTGATTCAAGAGAAAAGTTTTTAAATCAAATAGAATTTACTTGAATCAAAATTAATTTTTTTGTTCAAAAATTTTTTTACTTGATTGAAGTTAATTTCTCTTTTATCAGTGTTTTGATTCTTACTTTTGTAGTAAAAATATAAACATTTCGTAATTATATTATTCTTCTTATATTTTGCATAAACATAAAACCATACATTAAAAAACTGAGAAAATAAATTTATTTGTAAACGTTTTTCCTGTTTTTATAAATATTATAACAGATTTAATTTTTTTTACAGTTGAAAATAAATATATACCTGGCTTATAAAAATGAAATTATTTTCAGAGAAAAGGATGACAGTTTTCTGAAAATCATACATTTTAGTGGTTATTCTGTATTTATTTTACGTAATATATATTTATAAATATTCAATATTACTACTATTGTTTGTTTTACATTTAAATATATACACATATTTTTTATTCAACTCCTTTGCAACAAAGAGGCTTGATTATTTACAATATTGATTATCGTTTTTGAAGAAAGAGCCTTT